TTCAGATTTCTTCTTTTCCAGACACTTTTCTTGCTTCTATGAACATGATTTTGGCCAGGAAATGCTGTCAAATTCTTTTATTTATTACTGCATTTAACAAATATTTATTAAGTGTCCATTAAACTGATGCTTGGAATTCCGTTACCGTGTGTTCTTTCGTGTGAGTTTAGTGGCTACCTGCTGTGAAAAATTGGAATGCTGGGACACTGATCTCTGACCTTGACATTTGGCTAAAACCTGCCATTCAGGTTCAGCCTCGGCCTCAACCTATTTCAGCATCATTTCTGGATCCCTCAAATTGTGCATGGTCAATAATCCAATGTCTTTGTGGGTCGTAATTATATAAAATCATCATCATAATGTTGATAATAGAACCCAAGTATGATTTGTGGATCTATTTTAATATATGAATTTTCACTTACGGCTATATGTATTTTAGATCTATCTTGCGGTGGAAAACTCCTTGCTCATCTCTTCCAAGAGGACAAATCAAAATATTGGTATTTGCAAAAACTCCCTTGAGACATCAGAGCCCACTGTTGACCTTATTCATCCATCTGTCCTAAACATACTCCTGGTATAAAAAAATATAACATTATAAATGGGCAAATTAGGCTCACTTTTGAATTTTCTGTACTCACACATTTCATAAGGGTGGGTGGCAGAAATAATGACAACTCTCATGTAAATCCCCACCTCTTTTCTGCAACTCTTGTCAATGTCTATTGCCCCTGAGAGTTCTGTAGGAATAAAGCAGAGAGCATGGGAAGAAATGCTGAAGCCTGGTGTCTTCATCTAGGCAACAAATCCCCAGCAAGACCCTACCTCATCTCAGAATTTAGAAGTCAGACAATTGCCACGGGGATGTATATTTCTAGGTTTAAGAGAATTAAAAACGAAGCAATATCTGTCCTATCAGAAATGTTTCATTCGACCAATTATTTTGACAATGAGAACTGGCTTTGCAAAATTAGCTTATCGGTAAACATTTTCTAGAAATGTAATCAGCTAAGTGTGTAAGTCATCATTTAGAAAATAGGTTAAAGAATTTTATAAAGTTTTATACTTCAAAAGTATAATCGAATTAATATTTCAATTTTCCAAAATTTCTTGAGTATATTCAGTGTATGTCTTTAAGTAAGAAAGTAACCATCAGTAGCCATTTATAAGTGCTGGTAAGTGTTTTTTGTGTGCTTTCTAGAGACTGAATATGAGGATGATTCTAATAGCTGAGTTCCAAATTCTTTAGCAATTGACCTAGTTTCCAGTACTTTGCTTTCAACAAAATTAAGGAGGCTGTTTGTTTTTCAGCTGAAAAGTAATTAAAATTGTATTTAATTATGATCATAGTGTGACTTTTGGTTTATAACCTAGATGCCTAAATAATTAAATGATGTTGTTCTAATAGAACTTCTCTCATTTCTGTCTCTTTATGTGAAAAAGTTGCTTTGGTGCCTACACCTTTATGACAGGAAACAGAGCAGGGATATTCTAGAATAGAAGTAGAATAGAATCAGGTTGCCTGCATGGCTCAGTCAGTTAAGCATCGACTCTTGCTTTCAGCTCAGGTCATGATCTCACAGTTCGTGGGTTCAAACCCCACATCGGATTCGTCCTGACAACGTGGAACCTACTTGGGATTCTCTCTCTCCTTCTCTCCCTGCCCCTCCCCTGCTCATGCTCTCTCTCTCTCTCTCAAATAAATAAACATTAAAAAGATTTTTAGAATAGAAGAGAAAAAAACAGGAAGTAAATAAAGAGTGGAAACTTGTCTCAATCGAGCGATAAGTAATATTCATCCAAAGATAAAAAATCTGATTGGGGGAACCAGATGGATGAAATATACAATTTCTTTCATTAAGAAATTATTTTCATACAAAATTTTATCTCTTGTGTTTAACATTTATTAAGATTGTCGTAGATAGGTATGATCTTGATAAGTAATATACTGATAATATTTGTAATGATAACTCAACCCAAAAAATCGTATTCCTACTCAGAACCGTATAGCTACAAAAACCTTTTTTTTATAATTCTGATTATCTTTAGTTATAGAAATGAATGATAAGGTATTCATTAAGGTGTATTGAAGAATAAAACACCAGGATAAAATTATGTGGGGAATTAGAATGGAAATACAAGATCAAGAAGAAACAAGATTGATGTAAAATTTCCAGCTGGTAACAAAGGAGTTCATGTGTGTTTTAAATGGATGATGACTATACCAATAAATGACTGTGGTATTCACATTTCACTGCATGTATTTGAAAAGCGATATTACAGTTTTATTTTTAAAATATCATTATTTATAACATGGTTCTTGGCATCTTGCACATGATGAAAAAGTTTTAAGTGAAAGAAGTGTGAAGATTTATATGTTTAATAAAATTCTTTTAAGGAATATAAGAAAAAAGGTTGAAGACCAAAGTGTATAAAAGCCATCGTTGAGAATCTTGAGAAAGAATTATTTACAACATATAACAAATATTTTAAGTGTACCTAATAAAATTTGTAATTAAAAATCAAAATGATAGGGGTGCTGGATGGTTTTGTCGGTTAAGTGATTCACTCTTGACTTCAGCCCAGGTTATGATCTCACAGTAGTGGGATTGAGCCCCGTGTCGGGCTCCATGCTGAGCTCCAGCCTGGGATTCTCTCTCTCCCTCTCTCTCTCTGCCCCTCCCCTGCTCATTCTCTCCCCCCCCTCCAAAATAAGGAAATAAACTTAAAAAGAATCAAAATAATAAAGTTTTCATGACACCCACTATGTCCTTCCATTCTCAAAGTTCAAGCTATGAGTTTTGCTTCATCCAATATGGATTTTTATTTTCCATTATTAGGCATTTGGCCAACATATAGGGTTGTTGCACATCCAAAAAGTTTAATTATGCCTGGGCAAAATAACATGGAGACCTCTTAACATCATTTATTATGTATTATAAGTTAATTTATCCCACATGAAGTGTGTAGAGTGTAAAGGTATTATTCATGACAGTGGAGGAGTGAAGGAGGAAAGCACTGAGGAGATCGGTAGAAAAGAACATAAAGAGTCTAGTGAGGGCACAACCCAAAATGAAACAGAAGAGATTTGTACTCATTCAGCAAGCATTTACCAACTACTAAGGGCCAGGACAATGTGTTATTATGGTTTATTCTATTTGACTTGGCATTATATCTCCCATTGAATTTATTACCCTCCTTGAAGTTTTAATATCTTACATATCTGTAGTTTTACGGTTCACAAGAGTTGCCATGTAAATGATCTTCACTTCTCACTCTTTCAGATTATTTACAAAAATGTATGTCAAAAACAAAATATACTTCATCCACAGAAATGCCTGTTTCTCATCACATCATATTTTAGAGTTTAAATTGATTCTCTATTCAAAACATGCACACTTCATTTCGGGGGGTGTTAAATTCATGTAATAGTGTGGATCGTTCATATTTTCAGGATTTCTTACAAATAGATTCTAACACCGGAATAGCTCTTGGGAAATCAATAGGATGCTGAGTCACTATTGATAAGATATTTTTACGTTGCTCAAGGTAAAATTAAACAAGAACGTTCATCAAATAAAGGTCATTTCCTTAGGGAATAAAATGAATTAATTGGCTTTATAGTCTAGATGTTCAGTGAACTAAGAAACAATAAGAATGTATTATATGGGTGGTATTCTAATGAACTAGTATTTTCTTTATAAACAAACACAGGGTTACTATAAAAAGCAAGCTTTAAACTGCAAAACAAGGGAGAGATTGTCTTTAGAGTTATTGTGTTTAAAATCCTGTGATAAATTTCACTTCTTTGTTTCACCAAAGAACCATATGTATCACCCAGAAATTGCACTACTAGGCATTTACCCAAGGGATACAGGGGTGCTGTTTCGAAGGGACACATGCACCCTCATGTTTATAGCAGCGCTATCGACAATAGCCAAAGTATGGAAAGAGCCCAAATGTCCATCGATGGGTGCATGGATAAAGAAGATGTGGTAAATATATACAATGGAGTATTACCCTGCAATCAAAAAGAATGAAATCTTGCCATGTGCAACTACGTGGATGGAACTGGAGGGTATTAAGCTAAGTGAAATTAGTCAGTCAGAGAGAGACAAATATCGTATGACGTCACTCATATGAGGACTTTAAGATACAAAACAGAGGAACATAAGAGAAGGGAAGCAAAAATAATATAAAAACAGGGAGGGGGACAAAACAGAAGGGACTCTTAAATACACTGAACAAACAGGGGTTGTGGGAGAAGGGGTGGTCCAGATGGGTAGGGACATTCAAGGAATCTACTCCTGAAATCATTGTTGCACTATATGCTAAGTAACTTGGATGTAAATTAAATAATAATAATAATAGATTAAAAAAAACTTGAAAAAAAATAATAAAGAACCATATGGGATAAAGCTTGTTCCCTGAACTACCAAGAAGATATTTAGGACATGTGTTTACATTAATAGCTATTTTTTAAAAAATGAAAGTCAAGAATATTCACTGAGGGACACCTGGGTGGCTCAGTCGGTTAAGGATATGACTTCTGTTCAGGTCATGATCTCACGGTTCACGGGTTCGAGCCCTGCATCAGACTCTGAGCTGTCAGCTCAGAGCCTGGAGCCTGCTTGAGATTCTGTGTCTCCCTCTCTCTCTGCCCCTCCCCTGCTTGCATTCTATCACTCTCTCAAAAATAAATAAACATTAAAAAACTTTTTTAAAAAAGAATATTAACTGTTTTCATCAAGTCATATAATTTATTTTGCTTCTTCTTCAAAATAGGTTAGGTACTGATTAACAGTCAGAGACAGTGTAGCCTGAAAGTAATATTTTTCAAGGACAGAACATTTGAGAAAGTGGATAAAAGAATACTGATGGTCATAGAAATAATCTGGAATTGATTTTTTTATACTGGAAGTAGTTAATATGTTACAAAAATAAAGGGTTAGCAGTTTACTTTCACTGCCCATCAGAGAAAATAAAAACCAGTGATTCTAGGACAAGACCAGAGTTCAAGGAATCAAGGGGCTCAGATTCCTGTTGTTTCCTATTTCTCTCCACACCATGAGAGGAAATCAGCTGCCCAGTCCAGTCTTGATTCTACTTTTCCTGCTCCTTCCCAGAGATGCCTTCACTGCTTCAAAACCGTAAGCAACAACATTTTCAGAAAATTCTGTTGTCTTTCTCTTTCCCATTGTTTTATCTGCTTCTTAATGTCTCTCTTATTTATTTTCTGATTTCCTGTGAATTTATCGGCTGTTGAAGGGGCTTAGAAAGGTCAATAAGTTGTTATTGCTCATGTGGAAAGAGGCATCCTCTAATTCTAGAAAACACTGAGACATGGGGCAGTCACGTTTACGAAACATTCACCGAATAAGAATACAGAATTATACAACATTTATTAAATAATAATCTAGAACTCCTGCCAAAAAGAAAAAAAAAAAAAAGGATACATCCTTCATTGGCTCATGAAAAGGGCTGCAGTGTCCGTCCAGTGTGAAATAACTCAATCTCTGTATTTTCCCCTGGTCAGAGATCACCAAGAGGAATACATGACTTTCAGAGAAGCCAGGATTTTTGTGTTAGATCACTCAAATTCTCGAGCAAACCCGTAGGGGCTGGTGTTTAGATCTTGGGAATACACAGATTAACACAATGTGGACCCTGTCCTCAACACTTCACGGTAGAGAGAATAGAAAAAGTGTGCAGGGAAAGGAATACAGTGCAACACCAGAAGCTAGCCTTGCGGGATTCTGTGAGAACACTCGCAGAGAAAACCTACCTCCTCCTGGAACCTGTGAGCCATATAAGGGAAGGGACGTCGCCTAAGTCTTCAGAGAGAAACTTGTTCGGAAAGAAGTCTTATGAAGCAAATAGAACTTATCCAGATAGACAAGGACAGTTCAGGAAGAGAGAGAGAGGCGTGGGCAAGGAGAACATTGCAAAGTGCAGCATGTTTGGTGGTAGTAAATGGTGGGCGAAACAACTGGAAAGTGGTAGTTTCTTCTGGGTGTGCATGTTAATATATTTGGTGACTAGCCTCGCATGGCTCGATCGACTCCGCCTCCCTCATCACAGAGTGAAAGAATAGAAGCAATGCCACTCCTCCTTATCCATTAAATATCATGTATTTAGTGTCCTAGAATAAAGAAATTCATATCGCCCACATGAAACCCAAGACCGCATGTAGACAGGTTCTTAAGGCTTTCGATGATATTTAATGGGTTAATCATATTTTGTTGTTGCTCAAACAAACATTGTTTTAGCTTCATAGGCATACAATTGACAAAATTATGAAATATTTAAAAAGTACAACGTGATCGTTAAATTTACCTATATACTGGAAGGATTCCTCCCATCGGCTTAATTCACACATCCATCTCTTGAGTATTTATTTCCTCTTCTTTTTTGTGTGTGTGAGAACAGTCTAATTCTCCTTCCAGCAGATTTCATTCATACAATGCAGAGTTATCAACTGTAGTCACTGTGTCACACATTATATCTTCAGACTTTATTCATCTTATTATAACTGAAAGTTTGTACCCTTTTACCAACTTCTCCCTATTTCCTTCAACAGCGCCCCCTACCCTGCCCCGCCCCTAGTAATCACACTACCATTGTCTGTTCTGTTTCTGTGAATTTGATTTTAAATTTTTTTTTCAACGTTTTTATTTATTTTTGGGACAGAGAGAGACAGAGCATGAACGGGGGAGGGGCAGAGAGAGAGGGAGACACAGAATCGGAAACAGGCTGCAGGCTCTGAGCCATCAGCCCAGAGCCTGACGCGGGGCTCGAACCCACGGACCGCGAGATCGTGACCTGGCTGAAGTCGGACGCTTAACCGACTGCGCCACCCAGGCGCCCCACTGTGAATTTGATTTTATTTAAAAGGGTCTATATAAGTGACAGCATGCAATATTATCTTTCTCTGGCATATCTCACGTGTATATATTTCTTTAGAGAGAGAGGGAGAGTGCACATGAATGGGGGAGAGGGGCAAAAGGAGAGAGAGAGAGAGGAAGAGAGAGAGAGAATCCCAAGCAGGCTCCACACTCAACACGGAGCCCAACACAAGGCTCAATCCCACCACCCTGGGATCACAACCAGAGTCGACATCAGGAGTTGGATGCTCAACTGACTGAGCCACCCAGGCACCCCTGGCATATTTCACTTATAATGTCCTCACAGCCCATCCATTTGTTGCAAACAATGGGATTTCCTTTTTTTAAGGGTGAATAATATCCCATTATACATCATCCCATTTTCTTGATCCATTTCTAAATTTCAAAGCACATGATTCATGGATTGCTTATCCATAGCTTAGGAATAGTTCTATGATTGGTGATTACAGAAAAGATTATCTAGAAAGCAGCCACAATCATGACGTCTTTTTAACCTTTCCATGGTTGACCCGGAGCCCTCTTCTCCACAGGCAGTACCTGGTGCTGGTCCCATCTCAGCTGTACACTGGGGTTCCTGAGAAGGCCTGTGTCATGCTCAATCACCTGAATGAGACGATGACACTGAACATAATTCTGGACTATGGAATGCAGATCAGTACCCTCCTCACCGAGCTGGTGACAGAGAAGAACTACTTCTCCTGCAGCCCCTTCATTGTCAGTAGGACTCTTTGGGATATGGAAGCTCGTTAGAGAAAGAGCGTATTAGCCCATACCTTGTATTCTGACCCCCAGCAATAAAACAGCATAATGAAGAAACACATGAGAAGTACAAAGTGAAAGTTTCTACTGAATACGCTTTCATAATATTTACAAACAGTCCTAGTGCAATATATGAAAAGTAATGCTAGTTATAGGTTTCATTGGCTCCTACAATTCGGAGATGAATAAAGGCCATGCCGTTACCCATTACAAACACTGAAATTCATAAATTTAAGTGACTTATTTAAGATCTCACATGTGGTTGATGGTTAATGTACTGTCCTTCTAACTTTGTGCTACATAAGGTATTAAATAGTTAATCACACTGGCTTACTCCCAGTGATAATATGTAACGTTGACGTTGACCATTGGAAAATAACATTTGATAATTACTTCAAAGCCATCATACTGCTGTGGAAATTAGAGTTTGTCATTGCCTTCACTGTCATCACTATTTGAAGACTTAGTTGGTTTTATTTCGGTGACATTTTCCCTTTAAATCAACAAAGTGTTCCTGTCATGTTACAGAAGCATGAGAGTCTATAATTCTTGACTTATCCCTTACTAATTCTCTGGGACTAACCAGAGAAAGAACAAAGTCAGAAAGCCTGAGACATTCAGACATGGGTCTGGGCAGATTTTTCAGTGCTTTTCTGTTTTACAGATTCCAAAGCTGTTAACTTCCTCAGGGTTCATTACTGTGGAGGTGAAAGGGGCAACACAGCAATTCATAAAGAAGAACATCATACATATAAGGAGAGCAGAGAGCATTGTCATTGCCCAAACAGACAAACCCATCTACAAACCAGGACAAAAAGGTATAAGGAACCAAGCTGGCAAGAGCGACTTTAAGGGGTGGGTGTGTGGCTATCTATTACTTTATTCTGCAGTCATGAAAACACAAGCATGCTGTTATCTGTGTTTCTGCCTTGGATTCCCGCGGTAGGGTTTCATGGGGAAAATCTCTGTGTTTCAGTGAGATTCCGCATCGTCTCTGTGGATGTCAATTTTCACCCTGTGAATGAAACGGTAAGTCTCCTGACAGTGGATGAGTGTGGGGAAAACAAGTACAAACTTAAGGCCCATTCTTTTGAAAAACATGAGACCAATATGATCTAAGTGGTACCACTGCTGGAGAATGAGATCAGTTCATCAACCACATTATCAAAATAAAACATTCCGTTGAAATTATCTTTTTAAAGAGCCCAGTCATTTTGGGGGCGCCCAGGTAGCTCAGTCTGTTAAGCGTTCAACTTCAGCTCAGATTATGATCTTGCAGTTCCTGAGTTCAAGCCCTGCCTCAGGCTCTCTGTTGTCAGCTCAGAGCCCACTTAGGATCCTCTGTCTCTCTCTCCGCCCCCCTAACCCCCCTCCCTTCCTCTTCCGCTCCCGTGTGTGCACACACACTCTCTCTCTCTCTCTCTGTGTCTCAAAAAATAAATAAACATTTTAAAAAATCTTTTTTAAATGTTTATTTATTTTTTGAGACAGAGAGAGAGAGCCTGAGTGGGGGATGAGCAGAGAGAAAGGGAGACGCAGAATCTGAAGCAGGTTCAAGGCTCCCAGCCATCAGCACAGAGCCTGACACGGGGCTCAAACCCACGAACTGTGAGATCACGACCTGAACCGAAGTCGGATGCTTAACCAACTGAGCCACCCAGGCACCCCAAAAATAAATAAATATTTTTTTAACCCCAGTAACTTTTATTAAACAAAGGAAAGTAAGTGAACTTGATTTCTCTCTTAGAGAGATGGAGAATTTCTCAGAGATAAATTTCATCTGCAAAATAAACTCACTCTTTTGACCTTTTTACTTAAGTGTAGGTTTCCTCCATTGTACATTATTTCATAAAAGGAAAGTCATGACTTCTCAAGAGATATATATGAGAACTAAACATGTAAAACTAAACTAAACACGTAAAATGCATGTGAACCAAACTGGGGCACATTTCCTTGTTTGGATAAAAAATATATACAGACTCACTTCCCCTGATCCAGATAGGCTATCAACGCTGAGGTCATGGCTTTCTTTTTCTAACCTCCATCCCACACTCATACTATCTTTTTTTTTTTCTTTACAGTTCTCCGTGGTTTATATTGAGGTAGGTAAGATCTTATGCATCTCCGTTGGGATGTGAACTTACTACAAGTTAGGTTCCACTGCCTCTCCCGCCTCCTCCCTCCCCTCTAGCACTCCACCAAAACTAAACACTGTTTTCCCTATCTATCTTAAATCCTCTGGAGACTGGGTACGATGTAAATGAAAGAACAAAATCCCCTGAGATGATACAATTTAGTGACTTTTCCAGTATTTCTAACCAAAATGGATACCCGTTGTAATCTTTAACATCTCATAGCTAGTAACCTTGATGTCCTTTTCTGATCATAGAATTCCTAGAAAACTTTGTTCACTACCTTTGATTTGTAGCAGTCAAAGTACCTTTGATTTGATTTGATGTAGTCAATTTGCCAACTGTCTACTATCTGACTCCCAATGTGCCCTCCCTGGAAAGCTGCCCCTCTACTCAAAATACCTATTTCAATGGTTTCTATGAACTCATGTTTTTACCTATAGAATCCCAAGAGGAATCGAATTTTCCAATGGCAAAATGTCAGACTGCAAGGGGGACTCATCCAGCTCTCCTTCCCACTCTCGGTGGAGCCCACCCTGGGTACCTATAATATTATGATGCAGAAGGAGTCAGGGGGAACACTACAGCACTCCTTTGAGGTGAAGGAATATGGTAAGAATTCCGTATGTGCTCGAGACATTTATGACATTAGAGTATTTAAGAGCTTAAGAGTTTTTATACATAGGTACAAGCAAAAATCTAGCATATAGTAGTTGAAAATTAGCAAGCTTTTTATGTATCTCAATATTCACTAAGTGCTTTTCATGCGCTATGTTGTTTAATCCTCACATCACCCCTCTGAGGCAGATACTGTATTATCCCCATTTTACAAATGAGCACCTGAGTACTAGAGCTGTTAGTAATTTACCAAAATCACAGAGCCAACAAGAGGCAAGAAATATTTTATTAGGTCCATTTGACCCTATTCAATCAGAAATTGGTAACCAATACAATAAATACGTGCATGCATCTGTTGATCTATATCTTATAACTGAGGGTACCTCTGGGCCGCACCTATGACCTAGACCTATACCACTCCAACCAAAGTAGTCAGACGTTGAAGCCACCTTACCCGTTATCAGTTATGTGGATTTTCTCAGGCCAATTGAACGTGGGTGAGGAGACTTGATCAACAAAAGCACGATTCCCCCAATTCACCAGACCTGCCGCGGGAATTATAGAACAAGGGTCTCTTGCAGGAACAGCTAATCTTACACAACTGTGAGAGAGGCCGGAAAAGTCAGGGTCCAGCAGGAGGAGCTAATGAGTCAGAGGAAATTACTAACCAGTTCTCCAGAAGCATGGGTGGGGACACATAAGTTAGCACCCGCAAGGGTCCCTTCAGATGCCAAAGTGGACCCCCAAGGGCCACCGCCATAGAAGAATCTATGGAAGGCCGTACGTATACATATCTCTTCATATCCACTGCTTCAGTATTTCTGTAGTCAAGCGTCTAGTGGTAGATCTTGGGCCTCTATCAGTCAGCAGGACTCGCAGCTGGGAGGAAATGGACACAGAGAAGGACAGAATTAGGACAAATTGGAATCAACTGGCTTCTCTGTACCTGTCACCACATCCAACCATGTGGATCTTTAGAGACTCAGGGTGCTTCTTTCCTTCCGTCTTTGAAATCTTAAACAAATTCAAAGGAGATGCTAGGAAAAGTAATCCCAGCTTAACCAAGTTAACGCAGGACAGACTACCCGTGGTCATAAACACATCGCCCTCGTCAGTGGTGGCTCTGCTGCTCCTTATTTCCGTTGACATCATTTCATGTGATCTTACATTATAAGGTTCTGCAATAGAATCATTACTGATACTTGCGAGATATCCCGCCCACCTTCATGTCTTTCTCCCTTCTGTTGACAACAGTTTTGCCCAAATTTGAGGTCCAAGTGAAAATGCCCAAGGTTATCGGCTTTCTAGATGAAGAATTTTTGGTGTCCGCCTGTGGCCTGTGAGTTACACTGTTTTTTTTTCATTCCAATTCTATTTCCCGGCTCTATTTGCATTGGTAACTGGACTTCAAGGTGTTTTAATTCGAGAATGACTTTCTCCAACTGGGGAGCATGAGAGGCAGCATATGACATCCTACTAATAATAAAAGTATTGCCTGACCCCTGAAAATGTGCAAGACCGTGTTTTAAGTGCCTTGCCCCTATTAACATTTATTGTCACACTAACCTTGTGAGATGGGGATAGTTATCCTTAGTTTGCAAATGAGGAAACTATAACACATAGAGGATAAAAAAAAAACTTGCTCAAGTTTCTACAGGTAGTAAATGACAAACTGGAATTTAACCCAACAGTCTGGCTCCAGGGCGTGAACTCTTCACCCCTATCCTATATTGCTTCTGCAATTAAATAAAAAAAATAAAAAAAATCTAGTTTCATGAAACTTTCTACAACCGAAATTGAATGCAAGATGTCCAACTCAAGGTCATGCTCATGCTCATAAATTCTGTGTTATTCTGTGTCATACAATCCCCATTTTTTTTATTGCTCCTGATTTCCTAAACTATGGGAAATTAGAAAAAAATTAAGAACTTTTCTTAAGTAGATATATAGATATATAATGTATAGATATACAGATATATAGAGATGTATACATGTGTCATAGTTATTTCTTCCCTGGTTACCTCTTGGTGTAGTAAGACACTCTTCACGTGTATTGAAGAGACACTTTACCTCTTGGTTTTGAAAGCAGTGTGAGGATCATCTTTCTCGCCAGTTTTGATGCCGTAGATCTTTCCCTTAGAAGGGGGAGCACTTTCAGTCAGGTTTAAAGATTCCCCAAAGTGAGAGTTAGTAAATCATTTATTGCTTTCTCAGCATTGCTAGAAACTGGGGTGGGGAGGACTATAAGAAGAGGAGACTCAGGGCCATTGAAGCCAACTGTCACCTACCCCACAGTTTTGGCTAAAGCAATAGGTCTCAAACTTAAGTGAGCATCTGGATCTATTGAGGTGATTAGCTAAAATGTAGTTTCCTTGGCCACGTCTCTGGAGATTCCAATCATGAACCTAAGGAAAGATTGAGGACTCCGAATCACAATACATCTCAGGTAATTTCAGGGTAGATGGTCCATGAAGCATACGTTGAGAAAGAGCAGACTAACCTGGCTTCACATCATATCTTCATTCAGCCTGCTCTGACACATACCACAGAATAGTTAGTTAGTTTATAAACAACAGAAATTTGTTGCTCACAGTTCTAGAGGTTGGGAACTCCAAGGTCAAGTGCTGGCAGGGTCACATTCTGGTAAAGGTTCTCTTTCTTGCTCATGGCTGGTTGCCTTCTTGCCATGTCCTCATATGGTAGAAGGGGCAAGCGATCTCTCTGGAGCCTCTTTTATAAAGGCACCAATCACATTCATGAGGGTTCCACCCTCATGATCTAAGCACCTCCCAAAGACCTCACGCCTAATGCCTTCATCCTTGGTGTTTAGGATTTTCACATACAAATTTGGGGGATGCAAACATTCAGAGCATACCATAGCATATCCTTCCCTCAGATTTGGCAGAATCAGACTAAGTCATTACGATACTGTTCATTTATAACATTTCTGTTCGATAGCTAGTGCTTTCGAATGTTTAAATTTCCAGTTAAGTTCTCATTTATCTTCTTAAAATATATACGAATTAGAGATGACTTAGAAATACACCATCTAGAGACCCTTAAATTTTTCCCCCAAACAACTTAGGAGGCATTGTCAAAGGTGGAATTATAACTTAGATAATCTGATGGCAGAGAAAGAAGGAAATAAGACAGAGTAAAACCCCAACTGGAAAGGAGGAAAGATCTGAGAAAAACCACATTGTTAATTTTTCATTTGGCGGTGTTTCAAAAAGATTCAGTAAGTATTTTCTCTTAGAGTTGTAGATGTGTATCCACTTGGATAATGAAGACGGTTTCAGAACAAATGCTTCTAAAGAACAAATGCTATGGAAGGAATTACGACAGCTATAGATGAACAAGATCGATATACGAATGGATCAAATTATGTGGAACAATATCTGAGTTATTTGTATTAAACATATTCTCATCTATAACTGCTTGACTGTCATAGATACACATATGGAAAGCCGGTCTCTGGTCTGGTGACAATTAACGTATGCAGAAAATATTCACGATACCATTCCAACTGCCATGGAAGATATTCGCAAAAGATCTGTGAAGAATTCAGTCAACAGGTATATGGAAACCACTCTGCCCAGGACACTAACAACAGATCTTGTTTTCTCAGGGATTATAATGCAATAAGGAATATCATACAATAGAATACAATATTGTATTGTGCAAACGGTATAACAAAGAGTAGTGTTTGAAATGGTCCCCTAGGAAAAAATGTAGAATAAGGGAAACATTGTAAGATTGCCTGGCAACGTTAGGAGGCTTCTTGATAGTTGGGTTCATGAATTTATACTGGTATTTATGCGGCCAGTTTTGTAATTCCTTCTGACAGCAATCAGCATGCCAGATATAAAGCCATAAAATAATGTGAAGGTATCCAAAATTGGCTTTTATCAAACAGATAACAGAAAAAAAAATGTAGCCAATGTTAAGAATTTGGTCAGTGGGAGGAGGGAGCCCGGCTGGCTCAGTTGATAGAGCCTTTGATGCTTGAACTTGGGGTTTTGCATTCCAGCCCCATTTGGGGTGAAAAGCTTACTTAAAAAAAGAATTTGGTTTGTAGGAGAATCAAATGGCATGCTATCGAATCGAAAGGGCATATGGAAGAATATGAAACCAGCATCCGGTTTAAGAGAAAGAGACCTACAGGGACAATGAAGTCCTCAATGACGTCAAAGAATGTAATAACATCAGAAAGTAGAATCTGTCGTATTAAAAAAGAAATGTATAGGGGCGCCTGGGTGGCTCAGTCGGTTAAGCGTCTGGCTTTGGTTCAGGTCATGATCTCACAGCTGGTGAGTTCAAGCCCCGCCTCGGGCTCTGTGCTGACAGGTCAAAGCCTGGAGCCTGCTTCGGATTCTGTGTCTCCCTCTCTCCCTGCCCCTCCCCAGCTCAGGCTCTGCCTCTCTCTCCTTCACAAATAAATAAGCATTAAAAAAAATTAAAGAAAAAAAAGAAATGTATAAATTACCGAGTTCAGAATAAGAGTACATAAAAGCCCAGAGAGTGGCATTATCCATGATAATGAATGTCAAGACAAACGTCAATAAGCAACATAAACATGAGAGGAATTTAGTTACAAAACCTTTAAAATATCAGGGATAAGAGATGAATTTTTATTTTCAAGTGAGTAAATTAAAATACGATTAAGTAAATTAGACGTAAATTAAGTATGAGTACATTTTATTATGCAATGAATATCTTCATGGAAATAAATAAAAAAATGAAAACAAATCTTTCTTAAGGTATGGATCCCAATATTTAGTTGGGAAATCTATTATAATGATTCATATATTCAAAGAATAGATGTTTTGATGAATGTCCTAGACATGGAGAAATACAGTGAAGAAAACATAATTCTCAGTCGATGTTTAGACGAAGGTGGTCACAGAGGAGATGTTACGTCTTTTTTTAATTCATGTTTTATTTATTTATTTTGAGAGAGAGCGAGCGAGCGAGAGAGAAGCAAACAGAGAGAGGGAGAGAGAGAATCCCAAGCAAGCTCCACGCTGTCAGCACAGAGCCTGATGTGGGGCTCGAACTCACAAACTGTGAGATCATGACCTGAGCTGAAACCAAGAGTCAGATGCTTAACCGACTGAGTCACCCAGGCGCCCCAGAGATATTATGTCTGAGCTGAGTTTAGAAGAGTAGGAACCGTTAGCCCGGATAAGAATCGGAGCAAGAACGTCATCGTCTGAGGAACAGCATACGCAGAGAGGCAGAATTACAAAATATGGCAGCGCATTTGGAAACCAGGAAGTTTAAATTTTTTTTTTTAATGTTTATTTATTTTGGGGACAGAGAGAGACAGAGCATGAACGGGGGAGGGGCAGAGAGAGAGGGAGACACAGAATCGGAAGCAGGCTCCGGGCTGCGAGCCATCAGCCCAGAGCCCGACGCGGGGCTCGAACTCACGGACCGCGAGATCGTGACCTGGCTGAAGTCGGACGCTTAACCGACTGCGCCACCCAGGCGCCCCAAGGAAACCAGGAAGTTTAATTGGGCAGAAGCAGAATAGGCTTTCAGAAGAGGAGAGGGAAGCCAGAGGCAATGAGTAACTCGATTAATGAAGAAATATGATGTCATCTTTGGCTTGGGAAGGGATAAGCACCTGACAGATGTTCAGAACATTTGTAAAATTTCCTTTGGCAGGAAATGTTGAGCACAAAATTTTCGTAGATTGCTAACTGATTTTTGTGGCAGCAAATCAGAAGACCCAGGAATTCTCTTTCTTTCCTTTCAGGCAGACGATAAAGGCTGTTTCACACAACTCGTACAGACGAAAATATTCCAGCTGAGACAAAAGGGGTATGACATGGCAATACAAGTGGAAGCCAAGGTCAAAGAGGAGGGAACAGGTTGGCATTGTTTTTAAATATTGATTAATTCATTAGGTTACTAGTTTATCAACCTTTTTTCAAGGTTATGTATGTATGTGTGTGCATGTGTGTGTATGTGTGTATGTGTGTGTGTGTGTATTTATAACCATAATAACATTTTCACAAGAAATGTAAAAACTAGGAGCACCTGAGTAGTTCAGTGGGTTAAGCGTCAACTCTTGACTTCGGCTCAAGTCATGATCTCACGGTTGGTGAGTTGGTCGGGCTCTGCCCTGACAGTGTGGAGTCTGCTTAGGATTCTCTCTCTCCCCCTGTCTCTCTGCCCTACCCCCCCTTGCACTCTCTCTCTCAAAATAGATGAACATTAAAAAGAAAGAAAGAAAGAAAGAAAGAAAGAAAGAAAGAAAGAAAGAAAGAAAGAAAGAAATGTAAAACCTAAAGGCCAAATGAGCATGAAGAGAATTAATTCTAAATTCTAATAGAGAGGCAAAGTTTATAAAGTAGCATGTGGGCTGATTTGTACAGAATGGATAATATTTTGAAAGCTAGCAATGGACTGAGAAAAAAGCATGATTCACGTAAAATAAATGTGTTTAGTCTCAGAAGGATCTGAAAATGTAGGTAGGGGCTAAGGTGTGTAAAAAGTAAATCATATGCCAAAAAGGTTAGACTTTATTATGAAAAGCCTTGGATATCTTCAGATATATTGGAGTAGAATGTTCTAAATAAATTGATATTTTAAAAATATAATTCTAGCAGACATGAAGGGGACAGGCTAGATGAAACAATTTTAAGGTATCACAGTGTGATACAGCAGATTATTCAAAATCGCTTCAAAGATTACAAATCTGGGGCCTGGAAAATGGAATTGCCATTAACCAAGATAAGGAGTAGATGTGAAAAAGTTATGGTAAGGAGAATGTGTCAAAGACAATTAATTATAATCTGGAATACCAAGGTAGAATATGAATATGATTCATTCATCCTCAAAAATAATTTTCAAAGAAAACCAGAGCAAAATCAGGACCATAAATGTATATCTGAAACAATTCCTATTGTATCTATACCCTCCTAAGAGTAAATGCAACTGTTCTGAAAGAGAACTCACTTAGCTTTGCTAAATTGAGGCTAGAGGCAGACAAGGAGAGGCCCAAGGACAGAAATAGCTACATTTAGGACATAGTATCAAATCAGTCAGAATAATAAAATTAGAAGTCATAGGGATGGGGGAAAATAATAAAATAGAGTTTCTTAGAAGACACTGGAAGGGTTTCAGTGGTACTGATGTATGAAGTATTTCTGAGAACTCACTTGGATGAAGTCTGAGATGAAAATACTATAGTGGGAGAAAATAAGGGATTCTTTAGACTTTGATAGAACAATGCTTTAGATGATGAAGATAAAACACAGATTACACTTCAATAAATGGAAAGGCACCAGGTGTTGGCTATACCTTGCAAGGGCCATACAAGTGAAAAGAAGAGTCTTTCTGGGTAAGTAGTTTGTGATAGAAAATAAGCATATTTTAAACATGATTCCAATGTAAAGAATCACATTGCATGCAGAAAGTCATGGGGAGAGGGCAGGGATCTGAGAGAGATGGAAACAAAAATGGCACAAGATCACAGAAGAGGTGAGAAGAGCTTAAGAACATAGGGGGGCGCCTGGGTGGCGCAGTCGGTTAAGCGTCCGACTTCAGCCAGGTCACGATCTCACGGTCCGTGAGTTCGAGCCCCGCGTCAGGCTCTGGGCTGATGGTTCGGAGCCTGGAGCCTGTTTCCGATTCTGTGTCTCCCTCTCTCTCTGCCCCTCCCCCGTTCATGCTCTGTCTCTCTCTGTCCCAAAAATAAATAAAAAACGTTGAAGAAAAAATTTTAAGAACATAGAGCAAGTAGGATGCTTGCGAAACCAGAGGAATTGGGGAATGAGGTAAAATAATTTTTTATACGAAGGTGAAGCTAATGTCAAGTTGCTTGTATTTTCTAAGTATGAGAAATTCTAGAAAGGAGAAGATATGGAATACAGTGATTTGTTATGATGGAGTGAAGCTGGCTTGGAGGGAGGAGGTGAGTTGAATATACAGAACAGTTCAACCTCGCTTATTTCTTTTTCAGAGTTGGAATTAACTGGGCATGCATCATGCACAATCACAAGCACCTTAAGCAAATTGAAATTTACAAAAGTGGATACATATTACAGACATGGGCTCCCTTTTTTTGGACAGGTAAAATATCTTTTCAATAGAATCATAATGTGGGGGATGTGGCCTTTAAGAAAATGAATTTTTGTACCCCAAAGTGTAATTTGTTATAAAAATAAATATTTATTTCGAGTGAGGAAAGAAATTATGGCAAATGACAAACTTAAAAGGCAAACACGGGGCGCCTGGGTGGCGCAGTCGGTTAAACGTCCGACTTCAGCCAGGTCACGATCTCGCGGTCCGTGGGTTCGAGCCCCGCGTCAGGCTCTGGGCTGACGGCTCAGAGCCTGGAGCCTGTTTCCGATTCTGTGTCTCCCTCTCTCTGTGCCCCTCCCCCGTTCATGCTCTGTCTCTCTCTGTCCCAAAAATAAATAAACGTTGAAAAAAAAATATTAAAAAAAAAAAGGCAAACACTATCACATGCAGAAACATAAAGCACACTTTTATTAACTTCTAACACACCTCTAGAATACATTTTTCCCTGTGTAGTTTGACTGCATACTCTCTACCTGTTTATAAACAATGATTTTGTTTTATAATTTTTTAAAGATACTCTGTCATCTAGATGATTGAGATGGAATTTTTCATAGTGATAGTTTTAAACACATTTTTTTCAGCTTCAAAGATCAGTATCGGTAATCATATTGGTAAATTTTCAGACTGATATCCTGCTGAGTAAGCTATCAGTTTTCTTTCATACAAGAGATAGAAGTTTTCTGGACATTTAAAATTTTCTCCTTTGTAACTAATCTTTAAACTGACAGTTGATAGGCAATTTCCTTATTTTAGTGATGTTGTGAATTGTATATTTTCTTCATTTATTGCGGTATTTTGCATCAAATTGGCAAAAAATTAATAAATGCATAGATATGGTTGCGTGAGACCATTTCAAACCAAGAGGAGGACATGAGCGAACTGAGGATTTAAAAGATGAATATGACTTGGCCAGAAATCTAAGAAAGAGGGGAGAATGGCCAAGGCTCTAGGTTTCAAATAGCTTTTAAAGACCAAGGAAGCGGGGCGTCTGGGTGACTGAGTCAGGTGAACGAACGTCCAACCCTTGATTTCGGCTCAGGTCATGATCCTGCAGTTCATGAGATCGAGTCAGCATCAGGCTCAGAGCTAACAGTGAGGAGCCTGCTTGGAATTCTTTCTCTGCGCCTCTCTTGCTCGTGTTCTCTGTCTCAAAATAAATAAATAAACGAATTTTTTTTAAATTTAATTTAAGCAAATTATTTTAACTGAAGAGCGAAGAGCTAAGAGGTAGCCAGGGTGACTGGCTGAGATAGAAGATATAACTGGAGGGACTGTATAGTTGTAGGTAAGCCAGAGCCTTTTAGAATAAGCTCAGAATTTTGTACTGAGGAGTTACTAAAGGTTTTAAGGAGAATAGCATCATCAGTTTAGCTCAGGCGGTATAGAGAATGGTTTGAAGCCAGCAGGAAGCAGGAAGGAGGTGAACTGTTTAAGATTCAATAAAATGGTATTGGAAACCAGACGGAGAAAAATATTGTGTGCTGTCATCTGAGCAAAGAGGTAGAGTTAAAATAAAAACCAAGCTTTCAGAATTGCAATTTGGGAAACGTGGATTTGGGCAACAATTCAAATAGTGCCCCCTCGCCCTCAAGAACAAAAATCAACGGTTTTTCAAGACAAAGGGGAATTCTTGTACATGTCTTTTATGAGGAATTGCGACTGGCGTTGGTGGCAGAAGACTAATCTTGACTGAATGTAAGTGGTTACTAAGGATATCATCGAGCAAAATCTCCTGCAGCAGGTTGCAGGTGTTCGGGCTGCGTTTGGTCCAGTTCCGAAGTTCTTCTGGTGAGGACGTGCCTAAGGCTGATCTCCTTAATGGCCTCCCAGCTCCATTGTAAACCTTTTGATAAGAGACCTCATTTTATTTCACCTTTCACAGGTTTTAACTGGAATGGCAGCAATGAATCTAGAGAGAAATGAATAGGAATAAAATGCGCTCAACAGGGAAAGAGATAGCATTTGGCCAATGGTTAGATACAGTGAGTCAAAGAGAGAAAAATGATTTAAAAAGAGAAGAAAAAAAGCCTATGGGATGAATAGAAGCACCATATACTGAGACAGAGAACAGCGGGGAGGAAGAAAATTGGGAAAGGTAATATCACGAGTCCCTTCTGGGATATTCGCAGTTTCAGGCTCAGGGAATATCTATATAGAAAAGCCAAATAGTCTAGAGCCCAGAAAACAAGTCTAATTTTCAGATTCTAAGATCTTCGGTAAATGACAGCAGCCACGAGGTCAAGAGGTGAATGCCACAAAGAACGGAAGACGCCATTGCCACGTAACCCTTGACACCAGCTATCTCTTCCTCACTTCTAGGTTCTTCTAGTCAATGAGAAGGATCAGCCCATCCCCAATAAAACTGTAGTCGTCACTGTGGATGGAAATGCGTATCATTCCAACTTTATCACGGATGAGCATGGTTTGGTAGACATTTCCATTAATACCACCAGGTTCACATCTTCTTCATTCACCGTTTTGGTAGGTGGGAAGGGGCATCTGGGGCTGCAAAAAGATTGCTGAGGCCGCATAATTTAAGGGTATATGGGAAGCATGTAAATTCTACGGAAAAAGAAATGGCAACACAGAGGAAAATAGAAATTAAGCAATGTGGAGACCTAACTCAGAAGAAAACATGATCTGCCAGAAACCTTTTACTTTAGATTGACTCCATTTACAACCTGCCGTAGACATTTCTTGGCTGATCTTGACCTTCCCCCGTAAAATTCAATGTTTTCGCAATTCTGTTACAGATTAGATTTTCTTGATTTCTTCGATGTGCCGCTATTGTTTGTTTTCTGTAGAAGGTTCAAATAACTTTATGCAGTTTATAGGCATAAGGGTACTAAGAAAAAGCAATTGGTCTTGACTGTGAGTGAATATCATCTACTAAATCAGTATGGCACAAGCATGAATAAAGTTAAGGAAAAGTCACTCACAGATTATGCTTTCTTTGGGAAAACAAACTATAATGGAGCCAAATAAACATGGTTCACATAAAATCTTTAGTAAATGAGGGAAACCTGGGTGGCTCAGTCGGTTAAGCGTCCGACTTCGGCTCAGGTCATGATCTCACAGTCCGTGAGTTGGAGAGCCCGCGTCGGGCTCTGTGCTGATGGCTCAGAGCCCGGAGCCTGCTTCTGCTTCTGTGTCTCCCTCTCTCTCTGACCCTCCCCCGTTCATGCTCCCTCTCTGTCTCAAAAATAAATAAACATTGAAAAAAAGAATCTTGGGGCGCCTGGGTGGCGCAGTCGGCTAGGCGTCCGACTTCAGCCAGGTCACGATCTCGCGGTCCGTGAGTTCGAGCCCCATGTCAGGCTCTGGGCTGATGGCTCGGAGCCTGGAGCCTGTTTCCGATTCTGTGTCTCCCTCTCTCTCTACCCTTCCCCCGTGCATGCTCTGTCTCTCTCTGTCCCAAAAATAAATAAAAAACGTTGAAAAAAAAATTAAAAAAAAAAAAAGAATCTTTAGTAAATGACAGAGTGACCAACATGTACATAATGTATTTTCAAGACCTTTATTCTTTCCACTAGGTCACTTACAAAAAGAACAGCCACTGTTTTGATAACTGGTGGCTTGAAGAATATCATATATCGGCACAGCACACTGTAAAGCGTATTTCCTCCCCGAGCAAGAGTTACCTACACCTTGAACCTGTTACTGGTACCGTGGCCTGTGGACAAATCCAGGAGATCCGGGCACACTACATCCTGAATGAACAGATTCTAAAGGATGAAAAAGATTTGACCTTCTATTATTTGGTAAGAATAGAAGTAGCTCTTCCTAATTACAAGACCTCAAAAAGATTGAGTTCTTACCGAAGTGATACGCTTGGTAAGACATCAGTGAAAACCTTTTCTTGTCCTTGTTTTTATGCTTGAAGAGAAGTGGCTTCCTAATACATTATCAATGCTTTCATTTCTCGTTTATGCTCTGGTCTCCACTGGAATTTCTAAGCTTTTTTCTGAGTTCCAGGGGAAAATTATTGAAGGAGAGAAGAAAAAGCCAGGGAGAATGACTTGTTAGACAAAAATAATGTTTTTCTTAGAACTCAATAGATAAATAAGCAAAGGGTAAGAAATCAAGAACTTATTCAACAGGAAATAAAATTATAAACAAGCTTCTGGAAAATATTCAGTTTTGACATTAATTGAAGAAGTGAAAAATAAAACAATAAAGTAGTAGCAATACACCTGTAAAGCTTCTAAATAATTACAAAGCTCATGACCAGTGTTAAATGAAGGGAAAAAGGGCATTGACAGGCATATCATAAATTGATATGATACTTTTGAGGCCAATAAACCTATTTGTGCCCTGAGATTAAAAATATAATCCCAAACTGGCAGTTACTCAGATAAGTCATTTTGAGAAAAAAAAAAACCAAATTACATGTAAGAGACTCTGTATAGAAAGATTAACTATAGACAATATTTGCTTTTAATTTTTTTAATGTTTTTATTTATTTTTGAGAGAGACAGAGACAGAATGTGAGCGGGTTAGGGGCAGAGAGAGAGGAAGTCACAGAATCCGAAGCAGGCTCCAGGCTCTGAGCTGTCAGCACAGAGCCCGACGCGGGGCTCGAACTCACAAGCTGTGAGATGATGACCTGAGTCAAAGTCAGATGCTCAACTGACTGAGCCACCCAGGCGCCCCGTAGACAATATTTTTAAAAATTCTATTGAAAAGTTTTTTTAAAAAGTTGACAGTAAGTCAGAATCTTAGTTTTATTGCTTGTTAGTTATGTGACGTTGGGCAATTTACCTGATCTCATTTGTAAAGACAAACGTCAATCATCTTACCGGAATACTAGGGATGAGATTTATACCCACTTCATGGGAATACCGTGCCCATTAAATAAAATCCTATAACTAAATAATTTAGCTCAATGCCTGGCACAAAGAGAGTGTCAATACCTTTGGTTTTTTAACAATAGAGAATACTTATATATATTTTATATCTATCTGCTTTTAGTATATATTGCCTTGTGTATGTTTAAAATATTTGTTGAACGAACATGCAAATTTGAAATATCAATATTCAAGACAAATAGCAAATACTACATAAAATACTAAAACATTGCAAAACATATATTTGTTATTTGAAGTATGTAACTCTAGGGGCGCCTGGGTGGCTCAGTCGGTTAAGCGTCCAACTTTGGCTCAGGTCATGATCTCACGGTCCGTGGGTTCGAGCCCCGCGTGGGGCCCTGTGCTGACAGCTCGGAGCCTGGAGCCTGTTTTGGATTCTGTGTCTCCCTCTCTCTCTGCCCCTCCCCTGTTCATGCTCTGTCTCTCTCTGTCTCAAAAATAAATAAACGTTAAAAAAATAAATAAATAAATAAATAAATAAATAAATAAAGTATGTAACTCTACATATAGGAAATTACTGAAAGAGAACTTTAGTGTTCAAAACTTCTGGGTTGCAGTAGTGAGATAATTTATTTATCTATTTTGCATAGGTTCTTATAAGTTTAATATGTGCCTTTTAAAACGATAATGGCTATCTTTCCGTCTTCAGATCAAAGCAAGAGGAATCATCTCCCGGTCAGGAATCCACGTGTTGTCCATTGAGCACGGAGAAAGTAAGTACTTCCAGGATTTCCCTTTTTTTTTTTTTTTTTCTCTCGTATACTCAAATTCTGTACATTTTAGCAAGACGGAGCTACTTTTACATTTTACATTTACATTTTACCGAGGTCATGGTCACCAACCTTCTTCCATCAACCAAAGACGAGGATAAGCTAATACAAAACAAATAAACATTTTAAAGATTGCGGGGGCGGGAGGCACCTGGGTGGCTCAGTTGGTGAGGTGTCCGATTTTTTATTTCAGCGCAGGTTGTGATCTCACAGTTGTGAGATCTAGCCCTGTGAAATGGAGCCTGCTTGTAATTATCTCTCTCCCTCTCTCTCTCTCTCCTCCTCTCCCCCACTAGCCCTGTCTCTCTCTCTCTCTCAAATAAATAAACATGCAAAACGATGGCATACTAGGTTCATTTTAGTCCATTTAGTAATTTCTCTGATTTTTGTAACATTTCTATATTTTAAATTTTATTCCTAAAGTAAAATATATTCATTTTATAATTAAATGTTTTCAAATGCATATATTTTTATTAAAATGTTAATTTTTATTCACTTATTTATTTAAAAGTGCAGAAAATCACCAAGGAAAAATTTTACTGTGTACGTCTTTGTATTCGTTTCCTATTGCTGTCGTAATACATTACCACCCACTTTCTGGCTTATAACTGCAAATGTATCATTTTACACTTCTGTAGGTCAGAAGTCTCACTGGGTTAATATCAGGGTGACAACAGGACTGGCTGCCTTCTAGTGCTCTAAGGAGTTACCCGTTTCCTTGCCTTAGAACCTCCTGCATTCCTCAGTTTGTGGCCCCTCTGTCTTCAACCCCAGGAGCACTTCATCTTCAAATCTCTCTCTTACATTTCTGCCCCCTTTTTAAAGATCACTATGATTCAGGGGTGCCTGGGTGGCTCAGTCGATTGAGCGTCCGACTTCGGCTCAGGTCATGATCTCACAGTTGTCTCTCTCCCTCTCTCTCTGCCCCTCCCCGATTCATGCTCTGTCTCTCTCTGTCTCAGAAATGAATAAACATTAAAAAAAAAAATTTTTTTTTTTGAAATAAAGATCACTATTCGGCTCACTTGGATAACCTAGAATGATCTCCCCCTCTCAAAGTCCCTGATGTAATCACATTTGCAAAGTCCCTTTTGCTGTGTAACATAACATGTACACAACTTTTTCAGATTATGATATCTTTGGGGAGGACGTTAATCTGCCTACCACAAACTGCCCTCTGGCCCCAAAGATTCACATCTGTCCCATATGCAAAATCCCAACAGCCTTAAAAGACTCAATCCTTTATAGCATTAACTCAAGTCCAAAATCTCATGTAAGTCTCATCATCTCAAAAGTCCCAAATATCATCTTATTGTCTACGTTAGATATTGGTGGGGCCTTAAGTGTAACGCTTTCTAGGACAAAAAGATTATCAGTCCCGAGAAATTTTGAAAGCCGGTTGGACAAACAACGTTAGGTTTCAGAATACCGCTTAAGCTGCATCATACAAGTATTTGCATGGGGTATTTTCATTTGTGCTCAGTTCGAAACATTGTCAGATTTCCCTTTTAATTTCTTCTTTGGACTCTGGGTGAGTCAGAAAATAAGTATGTTTTTTAGTGTCTAAATATTGAGGTATTTTTCAGAAACTTTTCTTAGTGATTTCTAACTTCATGCCATTGTGGTCATTTCTTTTAAATTTACTGAGACATGTTTTATGGCCCCACATATGGTCTATCTTGTTAAATGTTAGTATTTCTATTCTTCTCCTCTTCAGCGTTTTCTAAACGTCATTTAAGTCAAGTTGGTTCACAACATTTCTATATCTTATACAGCACTTTCCTTCTGAATTTTCATGAATCACCAACATCTCTCGATTTCTGTTATCCCAGGAAGGATAACTAACTTTAAAAAAAAAGGGGAGGGGGGCGCCTGGGTGGCGCAGTCGGTTAAGCGTCCGACTTCAGCCAGGTCACGATCTCGCGGTGCGTGAGTTCGAGCCCTGCGTCAGGCTCTGGGCTGATGGCTCAGAGCCTGGAGCCTGTTTCCGATTCTGTGTCTCCCTCTCTCTCTGCCCTTCCCCCGTTCATGGTCTGTCTCTCTCTGTCCCAAAAATAAATAAACGTTGAAAAAAAAAAATTAAAAAAAAAAAAGGGGAGGGGGGGTCTGTTACAAAAAGATAAATACATTTGGTGTGTTTATTTGTTACATGTCCCTAGGCTAAATCTCATAAATAGCTTCCTTTTTTTCTGTTCATTTGATAATTATAAGCTATCATTTTACAAAAACAAAATAAAAATAAAAACTTTTATTAGCAGCATATTTAGGAATCAAAAAGCTCATTCACCCAAGGTGAATCAGTATATGCAGGAAAAAATGAAGGAGTACCCATTACAAAAATTAAAATATGTTTGTTTTTTACCTTTGAAACCCCATTTCCGGGGCGCCTGGGTGGCTCAGTCGGTTAAGCGTCTGACTTCACCCCGGGTCACGATCTTGTGGTCCTTGGGTTCGAGCCCCCCGTCGGGCTCTGGGCTGATGGCTCGGAGCCTGGAGCCTGCTTCGGATTCTGTGTCTCCCTCTCTCTCTGCCCCTCCCCCATCCATGCTCTGTCTCTCTCTGTCCCAAAAATAAATAAACGTTAAAAAAAAAAAAAACTTTAAAAAAAAAAAAGAAAAGAAACCTCATTTCCGTGTCCTTGGCACAGAGTGGGTACACAAGAAATATTTTTAAAGTAATTCGTAAATAAAGGATAAGATATCTCTTTGTCTACAACCTGTGATAGCTAAACTTTATTTGAAGTCTACATATTTGAACTATATTTGACGAGAACTAACTTTGAAAATAATATAGCTTCCTGTCCTGATATATCTCTATAATAAGAGTTTTGGATAAAAAGTCCATGCCCTCAAGATGTTGTTATGCTATTTTTTATGTTTATTTATTTTTGAGAGAGAGAGAGAATGCGAGCAGGGGAGGGGCACAGAGAGAGGGAGACACAGAATCCGAAGCAGGGTCCAGGCTCCGAGCTGTCAGCACAGAGCCCGACGCGGGGCTCGAACCCACGGACTGCGAGATCATGACCTGAGCCGAAGTCGGATGCTTAACCACATGAGCCACCCAGGCGTCCCTGTTGTGACACTTTTTATGTGCTCTTTATATGGTTTTAGTATTATGGTTTCAAATTACTTTACTGAAGTATAATTAACACACGGTGCTGTAGTAATGTCAGGTGTCCGATATACTGGTTTGACAATTCTTTACATTATTCGGCGCTCACCACGATAAATATAGTCGCCATGTGTCATCATACAATGTTACTACGATATCATCGACTGTATTCCCTAGGAGATCTGGCCATTAGCAGCAACATGGATGGACATAGAGCATGTTATGCTAGATGACAGAAGCCAGAAGTTTCGAATTTATTTTGACCCTGCTGTTTCCGTGCTTCTTCACCCCAAGCTGCCCTCCAACTTTCTAAAGACACAGGAAAGCTACACTTTTGAAAGAATTTCCTGCTACCCAGAACTTAGCTCGTTTACGAGAAAATTAAGTGTGGACATCTCAGAAGCACTATGCAATGCACGCAGAAAGAAGCAGCTAAGATAAATATAGGCAATTCCCCGGTAAAACTCAGATTCACACCTGGTTTTGTCGGTAATTATTCGTACCCATATCTCTGCGGTATTGAAAATGCCCCGAAGGTCCAGACGAGGTTGCGTTCTTTGCCTTTTCCTCGTGCATATGACAGGAATTGTGTTGATGTGGATCATAGGTAGAGGTAATTAACGATATCTAGAAGTTCTTCCCTCTGGATTTCTTTCTTAAGCAGTCTTTTTGTTTTCCTTCCAAGATTTTATTCAAATTCAAGTTAGTTAACATATAGCAGAGCCACTGGCTTCAGTAGAATTTAAGTGATTCCTTACTTCCATATAACACCCAGTGCTCATCCCAACGAGTGCCCTCCTCGATGCCCATCCCCCATCTAGCCCATCCCCCACCCACGCCCCTCCTACAACCCTCAGTTCGTTCTCTACAGTAGAGTCTTAAATCTTTTTTTCAATTGAAAAACAGAAAGGCGCATTAAATGCGTTTTTCGACTTGAGCAGAGGAAGTGCACAATGTATCCTACACTTTTCGGGAAGAACGTCATTGGCTCAGCACGTCCGCACTCAACACACCTGCATACACGATGGTGTGAATGCAAGCCTTCTCTTCCTTTAGTGTGCTCCAAATGTTGGAAGGAGTTAAGTCATTAGAGGGTCTCTTCTGTGTAAAGTTGAGAACTCCTCCCTCTTCCCAATCAACTATCTTGAACGTTTTCTTCCTCTCCAGTGAAAGGGGTATTTTCCTTCTCCTTTCGAGTGGAGTCGGACATCGCTTCTGATGCCCAGTTGCTGCTGTATGCTTTTTTGCCTGATGGAGAAATCATTGCCGACACGGAGAGAATCGAAATCGAAACCTGTTTTACCAATAAGGTGAGTCACCTGTATCAGCAGTCCTTTTATTCATCTCCCCTTTTGAAGGACGGAAAACAAAGATGTCGCGGCCGTTTCTAAAACTGCCACATAGTGTCCCTGGAACTTTCCTCCGGAGGACATCCAGAGGCCGAGAGTGATGCCATACCCTGAGAGGGCTGGTGAAGAAGTTCAAAGCAGGTGGCCCTAGACACACAATGTTTGACAAGTTTCTTGTTTTATCTCCAAATTCACGTGCAATTCAAAATCTATTCTGTTATGCAACCTGAATAGTTTTAATCTTGACGTTTCGTTCCCCAAATTTTGAGTTAAAAATGGTGTCTCCCCAGGATGTGTCCATTTTATCCCATCATACCCCCCGATGCACCTCAGTGTGCTATTGCAGAAACCAGTAACTCATTGTGAGGTTAAATTCAGTTTGATAATACAGAACAGGGGTATATGTATGTGCCCCGTGTTGAGAAACACAGCCTGGGCACTCTAATAATGACTATAGCATAAAAATATAACATAGTTGCAAATGGAGTCTTCTCATGTTTCCAAAGAATATATAGTTGTGACAAGAAGCCTCTATCCCAACAGAATTTGGTGCTTAACGTGAACAATCAGAGAGCATCCACCAACTTCACTTATCTTTTTAAAAATATACCTAGGACTCTTTAACATGAATTTTATGAACATTCAAACTATGCAAGGTACCTGGGTGGCTCAGTTGGTTAAGCGTCCGACTTTGGCTCAGGTCATGATCTTGCAGTCCCGTGACTCGAGCCCCGAGTCAGGCTCTGTGCTGACAGCTCAGAGCCTGGAGCCTGCTTCAGATTCTGTGTCTCCCTCTCTCTCTGCCCCTCTCTGCTCATGCTCTGTCTCTCTCTCTCTCTCAAAAAGAAATAAACATTTAAAAAAATGTTTTGAAGAACAAACAAAAAACTACACATTTAGGGGCGCCTGGGTGGCTCAGTCATTTAGCTGCCTGACTCTTGATTTTGCCTGAGGTCATGATCTCACGGTTCATGAGTTCAAGCCCCACATTGGGCTCTGCAATGAGAGCGCAGAGCCTGCTTGGAATTCTCTCTCTCTCCTTCTCTTTCCACCCCTCCTGCGTGCGCCCGTGCTCTGTCTCTCAAAATAAATAAGGAAACTTAAAAAAAAAAAAAAAAAAAAACTACGCTTTGATGGCAAGTGAACGTTTCTGCAATGCGAACTACATTAGATTATCTTTTTTAAAAAACATGTAATGATCTAAGAAAAATACACAATGGATTCTGATGTAAAATTTTAATTCTATCGTCCTAAAGAATGCTAGTAAACAGGACGGGTGTCCAAGGGCGTAGTGTCTTCTGCTCTGTTTGGATGTTCTTTGTGTTCCATGTGAACCTAGAAGAGATTCCTGTCTCAAACTTCAATGCCCTTACTGCTAATCGTGGGTAGTCAGTTGTTGGTTACACCTTGGAATGGCCATGTTATGCTATAGCTTTCGGCACACTTTGCTTATTCCAGCAGGGGTTTCTTGCTGGTAGAAAACAGGTGACCATTCCTGAGTAACACCAGAACATTGCCACAGAGGAGTGCAAGCCCCTGGATATCATTCTCAGTCTCTTGGTATCAGATATCTCGTAACTTATTCATCACGAGTAGAGAGACGCTGTGAAAACCAGAAAAGTATTTAGAAGAAAGGTGACTATTTTCATTTACCACCAGAAGTTAGAAAAAAAGAGGTATTAAAAAGTAAAAACTGAGGACCTTAGAAGGTAGACAGCCTGGCAGGCTGATGAACAAACAGAGGCAAGAACAGGCTGAGAAAATGGGAGGGAAGAGCCAAGTCGGTCTGAGACGTGTGTTCCCTCAAACCAATAATATACTTCAAGTATTCTCTTCAATCTTCATTAGGATAGAGGAAAACTGTTTTCTATCCAAAATCCGTATCTCTCTTTCTTACTTTAGCAATAACAGAGCTAGCGTATAGGTTAAATACCACATAACACTTTGCCTGTCATTCTTAACTGGATCGAATTATTTACGAAGCATAACATTGATTAACTCTCTCTCTTTCACAAATAAATAAACATCAAAACAATTTTGTTTTAAGGGGCGCTTTAGTGATTCAGTCGGGTAAGCATCTGACTTCAGCTCAGGTCACGATCTCATGGTTCGTGAGTTCGAGCCCTGTGTCAGGCTCTGTGCTGACAGCTCGGAGCCTGGAGCCCCCTTCGAATTCTGTGTCTCCCTCTCTCTCTGCCCCTCCCCTGCTCATGCTCTGTCTCTCTGTCTCAAAAAATAAATAAAAAAATTTTTTTTAATTTAAAAAATAAACACTACAAACATTTTTAAAGGATAACACTGATTAATATGGATAAGTGCAGACTCTCCAACTATGCCTTAAAATCCTTTGTTCGCATATCAGTAAAGCATTTTACATTTTCTAATGTAGTCACTTCTTGATTAATAGTCGTTTCGGTGGATTATAATGCCAAATAATTCATGTGTTCATTTGAAATAGGCACTCACAAACATGTTTTCATACGCTTAAGTTTTCTGAAAACAAAAACAAACACGTTTTGTTTGCATTCTCCATACGCCATGTTTTCATAATATAGTGAACTACAGAGCTGAATACTTCCTCATTTTGAGAATAAATCTATTAATTGTTTTTCGTGTAGCTCTCATGATACACGAATCCAATTGTTACATTAATTCACAGACCGCATAGCAGGATGATCACGGTTAAATTCAGCAACACGAGTTAGATGTTATTTTAACTAAGCATACTGACATTTCATTCCAATCCAAATCACCTTGCCGTTCAAGAACCCGGAAAGTTTCCTGGTGCTACTACAGACTCTAGATTCTAAATTATTTTCTTCTCTATTTTGAATATAAAATAAAACTCAGAAGCTACTCCAGAAATGTACATAAACATAATCTTACATAAACAAAATCTTACATAAACATGAAGAACGGATAGGTTCACTTATCAGTGAGTTTCTCCTGGCCGAAGCGGCCCTGCACCCCTTTAGAATGTCAGACGACTAAGACTGCGACCTGGAGGAGGCTTCAGGCGGCTGGTCTCAGAGGTGGAGCATGACTTTTCACGGCACCGTGCAAACTGTGCGCCTTCACCACGAAAACACCGCACGCAGATAGGTCAAATGCAGCAGAGTACGTATCTTTGTTAGCAGCGTGTGCTCTTTTTCCCGTCGGGGAATCTGTCTCAATGTGATCAAAACCAATGTACATTTCACCAGTTACACGAGGACCAGGAAACCTCAGTGCACTGGAGCTACAGTTCCAATTTATCCCAGAGATCGTTCACTGGTAGTCCCCACGGGTCCGCACCTCTTAAGCCTGCTCCAAAATGGATGAAGGGAAACCAAGCGTAGAAAGAATTAGTCCTCGTCTGGGGTAGAGGTGTTGAGGCTGTAATACTTAGAACATTTGCTGTCATAATCATATCTTTTTTACAGGTCAATTTGAGCTTCTCCTCAGCCCAGAGCCCACCGGCCTCAAACATCAACCTGGAGGTCACAGCCACTCCCCATTCTCTCTGTGCCCTCCGTGCGGTTGACCAGAGCGTTCTGCTCATGAAGCCTGAAGCTGAGCTCTCGCCTCATTCGGTGAGTCCCCTTTGAGCCTTGGATGTCAGAAAATGCACATATGCTAAGACCAGTTATAACGGAGAGGGCGTGTCCTTCAGAGGGTCAGGCATACTCTGGTTAGTTATGTATGAATTGGACTTGAATTCAGTTCCACAAAAGACATTGCGCCAGGTGCTTAACCTAATCTGTTCTCACTTCATTCTCTCTCCTGATATATTCTCAGTGAGGGAGCAATATGGTTCCCCACTGCATTCACCGCCTAGCACGGTACTTTATGAATAAAAGGTGCTCAACACATTGTTAGGGAATCAACACATGAGTAATAATTCCTTAAGGTGGTCATTATTACCTTAATTTTGTGAATGAAGAAAACACAGCTATGACAGATAAAGCCACTATAGAATATATTAAAATATAATATATATTATATATAATGTTATAATATATACTATATATAATATAGTATATATTATATAAATTATATATTATATATAATGTTATATTTTATATACTATATAATATATATTATATAGTATATAAATTATATATTATATATATTTAAATATAATGTATATGTTATATTACATAATATAACATACATATATTATGTAAAATTACATAATATATATTATATAACATATACATTATATTTAAATATAAAATATAATATATATCATATAAAATATATGTATTACACAAAAATATTATATAGTATATATTATATAGAAATATATATTATATAATATATAACGTAATTTATATAATATATATTTATATTTATATTATATTTATATAATATATATATAGATTATATACAAATTATATTATATATAATATAATTATAATAATTACAATAATATTATAATCTATGTTGTATATATTATATAATAATTATAATTATATATTATATATTTATATTTATATTATATTTATATAATATAATATATATTTATGTATACATAAATATATAAATATAATATATATTTATGCATAATATATTATATAAAATATATAATATATATAAAATATATTTTAAGGGTGGAGTTTGAATCAAATCTCATTCCATGCCACCTTTAATGCACCACATCAAGATAGTATGTGAAATGCCTGATTTTTTTTTTTTTTTAATTTTTTTTTTTTTCAAACGTTTATTTATTTTTGGGACAGAGAGAGACAGAGCATGAACGGGGGAGGGGCAGAGAGAGAGGGAGACACAGAATCGGAAACAGGCTCCAGGCTCTGAGCCATCAGCCCAGAGCCCGACGCGGGGCTCGAACTCACGGACCGCGAGATCGTGACCTGGCTGAAGTCGGACGCTCAACCGACTGCGCCACCCAGGCGCCCCAGAAATGCCTGATTTTTAAGCTTCCCCTAAAATCTAGGTGCTTGCTCAAACCGGTGAGCAAGGACAAGTATTACGAAGAATGAGGGCAGCGCGCCCGAAGGGCTTGAGGTCAGAACAAGACTGGAGTGTTCTAAAACGAAAAGGTAATAACCTAATAAGTAATGGGGAGAGACGAGGATGGTAGGGACTGTAGGTAAAATGGAACGTAAGGAAGATTGTGATGAGCTCTGTTAGCCTGGAGTGGAGTTTGGAGGTGACAGCAAATGCTATGGTAAATCTGAAGAGTTGTAAGCAGAAGAGTGCCAATTCCAATTTATCTGTTAAGGAGATGCTGTTTGCTGCTGAGCGAATGAGAGCAAGAATGAAAAAATGGGAGCAATTAGTAGGTTATCGCAGTAGCATAGGCAAGAGGTGAATGCAGCCACATTAGAAGGTCTGTGTTTATTTAATGGCCTGGGTACTATGTGACTGAGCAGGTGGCCTGACACCAGGCTCTGGGCAAAACCTGAACTGCAATTGATTTATTTCTAGGTTGCCTGGGCACCTAGTTTTTGGTCAAGCTAGAGTTGGAACTAAAATAGTAGACTAAAACAAACAAAAACAAAAAACTCAGTAAGAGTTCAAAAGAACTTAATCATGGAAAATGGGAAAAGGAATGAATTGGGAATGTATGGAAATTATTTCTGACTGTTGGGATTATGAGTGGCTTTTGTGCTCCTGTCACACTTCTCTATGCTGTCCACATTTTTGGCTTCCTTTTAAAAGCGGGCATTTGGGGGGCACGTGGGTGGCTCAGTTGGTTAAGCATCCAACTCTTGATATCGGCTCAGGCTGTGAGCTCATGGTTGTGAGATCAAGCCCCATGTTGGGCTACACACTAGGCATGGGGCCTACTTGGGATTCTCTCTCTCTCTCTCTCTCTCTCTCTCTCTCTGCCTGTCTGTCTGTCTCTCTCTCTCTCAAAATAAATCAATAAACTTAAAAAAAAAAGATAGGCATTTGGTCTAGGAGACAGGAGACGAGGTTTATTCTTACTCAACCAAAATGGGCTCTGAGACTTTGATCAATTAATTTCATTTCTCTATGTATTAATGTCTTTTGTACCACAACAGGATTAGGATCCCTAACATTTATTATCTCCCCATGATTTGTCTGTGGTTCTTTGTGTCATTGGCATGGGAGTATTCAGTAAACACCACAATCTTTTAAATCCCAGATTGAACATTATCACACTAAAAATGAACTTAAAAGGCAAGACAAAACAAGAATTTTCCCTTTGTTCTCTCAATCTTGCAGGTCTATGATTTGCTGCCACCGAAGAGCGTCCCTAGCGTTGCACACGGAGGTCCCATGAATGCATATGGTGAAAAATGTATCGAGGCAGTGGACATAGTTCACAATGGAATTGTTTACACACCAAGGTGGGCCGTAAAAGAGGATGACGTTTACAGTGTTTTTGAGGTAATTCGTCGTCCCAAAAGTATAAACAACATTGAGTTTTAAGTTTTTGTTGAAGTGGAGAACAAATGGGCTTCTAAGCTCTAGAATCTGATCCTGCACCCCCCCCCAAAAGAAAGCTAAGCTTAACAGAAAAACACTGAAACCTCAAAAGCACGGGGAACTTTGTGCACATACGGATATTCAATCATCAATGTATCTTGCACTCTTTAGTGCAAGTGGTATGCTTTTAGGGCCCACAGCCTCAACCAGGTTGATCCCAAAGCTGTTTACGACTGCCATAGCTCCCTCAGCAATTGTCAGAGATTCTAGTGTGTGAGCATAGTGAAACATTTTCCACAGTGAAAGGTGAGTACCTTATGGGCGGCCATATTGTCAGTCTGTTGCACAATACATACAATGTTGAATAAATAAATGACTGAATACACAAAGTATAATGCTTTCATCATCTTTACTGCAGTAAAATTTCCGGGAAAACTGAAAGTAGTCTTTCACAAAGAAAAGATTTACAAAACTTGGGTCGGAATGTGAGCAGGCCTGGGGCAGGTTACATAAAATGTCTAGCTTTCAGATTAACTGTAACTAGACAGTGTTACGAAGGGAGAGTTTGTCCAGCTTTGAGATGAAGTCTTATCACACGACCAAAGAGGGCTTAAAACCCTTATTGTATCTTGAGGAAACGTGCCCTTCTTCCACAGCGTAGCGGAGAGCAATTTAAATCTCCTTCTTCTAGAGCCTCCGGGATCGTAAATCAGTTGGTGAGAGAGGGGTAGGTAGAGGACTCTTTGGGCTCATTAGCTAACTGTTTCATCTTTAAACATTTGCTTCTGACTTCTTTCTCCCTATTTCATGTCACTGCCACCACTGATAACTGTGTCTCAGCCTCGCACAGTTTCCCGCGTATTCGGAGGTAAGACAGCGAGTCATATTTCCTGGTGACTAATAGTGAGGAAAGAGGCCACTGGGACCAGGTGAACTCGAGGAATCAGACTACTGTAGGCATCTGCATGTATGGTTTGGATGCAGAGATTCAAGATACTTGCAAGAAAATGAGAAAGAAAAGAAGCAAGACTAAATTAGGAAAGGGATGGGCTGAGCATAGATATTTAGGGAAAGATACATTTTCCAATAAAACTTAAACAACACAAAGTGTAACTAACTGTGAAGAAAAATCTCCAATGTGCAACCCTCTAATTTCAAATGAAAAGAAACATAAACAATTATTCTGTGCGCGCGCGCACACACACACACACACACACACTATATATATATATATATATATATATGTGTATAGATATATATATTTGTTTGGAGAAACAAATATTGGTTGGTTGGAGAAAAGGAAGGGAAGATAAACATACAGGTGCAAAATAGTTTCTTGGATGCAAAAGATAATTAAAGAGGCATCAGCAGATAGCAACAAAATTCAGAAATAGGAATCAGTAGAATCAGGGTTCTAATCCCAACTCCTAGTCACTAACGGGATGAACTGGACTGTCTGTGACTCCGTTTTCATATTTATGAAATAGCTCTCTTCCTTTTTGTGTGGCACTTTCATGATGATCCTATGGGCTATATGCATGATAATAATGAAAGTGTGATCATGTAGGGAAGGAAAAATTCCTCCTCTGCGCCTCGGGGTGTTCCGGCTGGACTAAGAATTAGATTTCCATGAGACAGATTAACAGGAGAGAAAAACGGTTTTATTACATGCTCTGGGGGCCCAATAATGAAATGGAGACCTAAAGGAATGAACAAACAGGAAGCTTTTGTACTTTTTAGCCAAAGAGAAGACAAATTTGTGGGAAACTGACAGGATAAAGAAAACATGTTCGGGAGCTTTAGAATTCTAAATGGAATTTGGGCTGAGGTCATAGATTAAAAAAATAATAACGGGGTTTGTTTCTACAACATTCTTGGCTTTAAAGTTCCTATCTCTGGTGATAAGGATTTTTATTTTCCTTACCCTTTCCATGAAAGGGTACCTTTCATGTGGGAGATTTATTTACCGCTGTGAGGAAGACAGAGGAGGCATTGAGTGTCCTTGAACCAAATGTTTCCCAACTAGTCTCAATTCAAAATAATCAATATGCTATATTCGCTTTGGGCAGCCTGCTCTTGACCCCTACAGTAGAAATGTAAGAAAAGATTCCATTCTCAGGATTGGATTGCCAATATGCTTTAATAATCCATTTTCTTCCAGTCTGCAGGATTAAATATTTTTACCAACTCAAAACTCCACAGTCAGTCTTTTTGTTGGCTGCCTCCACCATATCCACCATATCCTGTAGACTATGAAGACGGTAAGGGGGAGATACCTTTGCCTGCTAAGATAATAGGGGAAAAAAGGATGTTTTGCTGGGGTGGGGTGGGATGAAAAGTTATTTTTCTGAGTATTGAATCTTGTGACTCTTGTGAATCTGCCGCGACTTCTTGGTGACTTTTCTTCAAATAACACCCCCTCCCCTCCAAAAAGAAACAATTTTTTTTTTAAATTTTTTTTCAACGTTTATTTATTTATTTGGGACAGAGAGAGACAGAGCATGAATGGGGGAGGGGCAGAGAGAGAGGGAGACACAGAATCGGAAGCAGGTTCCAGGCTCTGAGCCGTCAGCCCAGAGCCCGACGCGGGGCTCGAACTCACGGACCGCGAGATGGTGACCTGACTGAAGTGAGACGCTCAACCGACTGCACCACCCAGGCGCCCCAAGAAACAATTTTTAAAGCAATTGTCGTTTCATGTTTTTTACTCTGTCTCTGAGATCAAAGTTGACTGCTTTTTTGTCCTAGCCTTCAGTAGTCTTGCGATTTCAAATCCTCCCTATCCACTGTGGGTTCAACACCTCAATTAGTCGGCATAAGACAGATTTTACTGCAATAACAACCAAACCCCCACAGCTCAGCAACTAAGAGGACAACAGTTTGCTTTTCTTTGTTCGCTCACACAAAACTGCGTATGCATCCAGTAGCTGTCCAGAACGGCTCCCTCCCAAACAGTGCGTTAGGGGTACCTGTACTATTTTCATCTTGTGACTCCATTTCCCCTGTGCCATCCAAGACCATTACCGTGGGAAAGGAGGGAAATGATTATTTTGTCCTGCTGTGGAGGTGGGATATCTGCCCTTCCTGCAAGGAAGGCTGAGAAATGTGAAAGATCGTATGGACATTAATTGTCTCTGTCATATTCTTTTATGAAAATCAAAGTGACTTTGATATGTCCAACGAAATAGAATAGCCCGACTTTTGGCAGTTAGACTACTGGTCTCCTTGTGTGTTTCAAGTATACCTGACAAAGAGGAAAATTTGAAAAGATGCTGAGTATTCTTTTCTATTGCTGTCACGTCTAGAGAAAGTTTTCTCTACGCATTTGTATATCCACTAGTCCTACTTTCTAATAAGAGATGTTCTAGTATAAAGTGTTCCTTAAAAATAAAATAAACACGGACTTGACCACAGTAGACATTATTTACCTAAGAAGACAAAGAATAAAGTGCTAGTTGGCAACAGAGGAGCAAATCAGAATATTCCCTCAACAGAAAGAAAATTCTGTATCGTGAAAAATGCAGTGTGCTAAGGGCCAAGGGACGTGTTCTTATCTGTGTGGTAGGTCATATGGGACTTTCCAAATTCACAGACTAAGGCTCAACTTCTTCAAATCTGAAATCAGAATGACAACATCAAAGTTACTGAGCATGTGTTGTGAGCATAAATGAAAAAATATAATCATGTTGCCATGCATAGTATATGTTTAAAAAAGTAATTGAAAAGAGGGGTGACTGGGTGGCTCAGTCAGTTAAGCTTCTGACTCTGGATTTCAGCTCAGTTGATGATCTCGCGGTTCGTAAGTTTGAGCCCCGCATCGGGCTCTGCACTGGCGGTACACAGCTTGCTTGGGATTCTCTCCTCTCTCTCTCCCTCTCTCTCTGCCACCCAACCCCTCTCAAGATAAAGAAATAAACCTAAAAAATAATAATGATAATAATAATAATAATTGAAAAGCACTATTACTTTATTTTCCTATCCCTCTTAATACCAAGTGTGTATTTTCTTTCCAGACATAAGAGAAAACATGCTCATAGAATGATCCAGAAAACCTAAAAACAGAGTAGTGTCATTACATTCTTACCCCAAATATTCTGTAAGACTCTATGCAAACTTTGCATTTGTATTTGTCACCTACCCATTCTTTCCTTTTCCTTCTCAGTTATACCACCTTATTCTTGTGCCTCATTATTTCGTAACGAAATTACTTACAAACCACCCTAATTTACTTTTCTTGCCTCCGGTCCTTCTTCACGTCGGTCTATCCTGGATACTGTGAAGGGCACTATCACCCTTAAACGTTGCTCTTATCATGTCACTTATTTCCCATAGATGGTCACCATTTCCAGAATTCATAGAATTATTGTACGTAAGGCTTTAGAAAGGCATGTTCCACTGTATTATTTTATGTGTCTGTAAAATATATATCATATTTATATTTATATATTTACACCTGTGATCTTTAGATCTTCTGATCTCTAGAGTGTCACTTTTTTTTTTTAATTTTTTTTGTCAACGTTTATTTATTTTTGGGACAGAGAGAGACAGAGCATGAACGGGGGAGGGGCAGAGAGAGAGGGAGACACAGAATCGGAAACAGGCTCCAGGCTCTGAGCCATCAGCCCAGAGCCCGACGCAGGGCTCGAACTCACGGACCGGACCGCGAGATCGTGACCTGGCTGAAGTCGGACGCTTAACCGACTGCACCACCCAGGCGCCCCTCTAGAGTGTCACTTTTATTTAAATCAAGCTAACTCCTGCATTAACAGATCTACTTTATTTGCCCTAATCTTCCTGGTACTTCATTATATAACTACACCTACTGTTTACTCAACAAACCCTCAAAATAGACATCTCACTCCCTTTTCCCTGGGGAGCATCCCTTCTGACCTCTGTGTACATACTTTTAGAGCCCTTTCCTTCAAATATCTCCTCGATTCTCCTTTGTTTCTCGTCTTTCAGTGATCATCTAAAATTCTACTTTGGTAAAGTCGTTCCTGGTCACTCAAAAGTTCATTTTCTGTCCTTGATTGAGTTTCTGGGGTCTATAACATCCTCTACTGTATTCTAGTGTTTGTGTCCCTATCTCGTTCACTGTCAAGGAAAAAAAGCGTTTCTTAAATCCTTTCTGTAGCTACTACTCACTCTTTGCATTCAGTTCTCACTGCCAGTGGAGAACAGGTGATCATCCTTTCAGTGTAAAGGCACTAGTTGGTGTGTTATTCCTCCCGTTGCTAGTTGAATAATCCACAGAGAGCTCCATTTGTTTTCATTTCTGGAGACAGATACATTTACCTCCAGACTCTTTGAAGGAGATAGGATTAGCTTTCCTAGAGAACAAATGGGTCAGTGAACAAAGTAACAAGCTGATAAGTTAAATTGCTCTGATAATGAACATTCCCTGAGCAAACGACCTCATTCTGCTTGCGAAACTAGGCAACGCGAAGAAATTCATGATAAAAATGAGGTTTATGTTGGGCCCTTCGTATTGTCTTTCCACAGCCCGTATACAAGCCTTACCACAAGTAGCCCCTGGTGTTGGAGGAAGAGCTCAATCAATAGCAATGAATGAGAATGTTCCAGCCATAGTAGAACGTCCCATGAAAGAGACAATCCGAAAGTACTTCCCTGAGACCTGGATCTGGGACTTGGTACCCCTCGAGTAAGTTGTGTGTTGCCCAGAATTTAGTTTAGGAAAAGATGTGACTCCTCCTCTTTGATTCTGGTGTTAGCGTTGGTTCCTGAGCCCTTCAGTGCTGTTGCATTTCTTTCCGGTACACATTTAGGCTCATAGTTCATTGATCTCATAGATCAGCAATGCGAATTTTTTTCTAATTTCATCCTGAGATATCTAAAACAATGGAAAGTGGGAAGCTACCCTTGCCTCTAAAAAGAAAAGAAAAACTTCCAGAGACCTCCTGAGGAGTCCCAAGTTTAGCATTGGCCACACTGGGTTACTAAGTTGCCCCGCTCTAGAATCAGCTACGGCCCGTGTTAAAAAAATGTGTTGACTCACAGCGTTCCTCTTTTTTCCTTCTCCAGTTTATCGGGTAGAAGTGAGTTGGCAGCGAAGGTCCCTGACACCATCACTGAGTGGAAGGCCCATGCATTCTGCTTGTCTGGAACCACAGGGCTGGGTCTCTCCCCCATCATCTCTCTTCAAGTGTTCCAGCCCTTCTTCGTGGAACTCACTCTCCCCTACTCCGTGGTTCGAGGAGAAGACTTTACCCTCAAAGCCACCGTGTTCAATTATTTGTCCCACTGCATTCGGGTAAGGGCCCTTCTCTGGGAGCAAGCAAGCGTACAAGGAAGGCACCCAATCGCCATTCATTATCCCGGTCTCCTACATAATCCCCCGGCAAATCATAGCTGAATAATGATGTAGGCTAATTTTGGAATGGAATAGGTGCTAAGAGCAAAGCTACCTGACTCGTCCAAGGTGGTAACGTTATATTTGCTTGGGGTTCTATATTTTCTGTGTATTCCTAAATTCAGATATTATTTCCACCTGATTCCTTCTCCCCCCCCCCCCCGCCCCGTGTTCTTTCTGACACTTGTGGGCGGGTACGGGGTTCAGGTCAGCGTGCAGCTAGAAGCCTTCCCTGACAACTCGGCCGACCTAGTGAGAAAGAATGAAGCCAATCACTGCGTCTGTGGAAGCAGGCAGAAAACGGTGTCCTGGACTGTGACTCCAAAGTCACTGGGTGAGTGATAAGGTTGTTGGCAACTCCCACTTCCTGCGTTGTAGTGATTTGCTTTCCACCCTGACCCTGACCCTGACCCGGATACGTGGGGTTTTTCCCTCCTCCTTCAACCATGATGCACTGAAAGAAAACCATCATATTCAATATGGAATCACTGTTTAACTCCTTAAGGATCTTATTTTCCAGGCAAGGTGAATTTCACAGCTACCGTGGAGGCCCTGCAGTCTGAAGAATTGTGCGGCAACGAGGTGCCTACAGTCCCGGTGGTTGGGCAGAAGGACACTGTAGTCAAGCCCTTATTAGTTGAGGTACGTGGGTAAACTTCCGGAGTCCCAGAGGCCTTATTATATTATATAGCATTACCTACTATGTATGTGAGTGCCATTTCGTTCCCAAGAATAGAAATGGATCTGCAGCTCAGTGTCTTACTAACATTTTCCCCTCTCCGTTAGAGTAATTGGGGTCTTTTTCCTTCTACACTCAGTATGACTTTACTTTTTCACTTTTTTTTTCCCCAACGAAAAGCCTGAAGGGATAGAACAGGAGGAAACTTTCAACACACTCCTCTGTGCATCAGGTAAGGGTCAAAAGTAGACAAAATTCTCACTTTCAGCCACTCGCCCAAGTGTAGGGTTGTAGAATGCCATATGCGCTATGGTTTCCTCTGGAGAAAGAAAATAGCATACTCTCCCAAGGGCAAACCTCAGGGCATTTGATTCAGAACAGTCTTTTCCAGATGAAGACTCAAAGAAGTTAAAAGACTTACCTAAAAGTTTCCGGCTAATAAGGAGAACCAAAGCTGATGACCGCAGAACAGGATTCTTTCCAATGCACCTGCGTTTATCAAACTTCTCCCTAAATAATTTTCAGAGTATCGAAATACCTGTGTGGCAAGAGTAGTCATTATTCAATGACTGGTTTAAGTGTACTCAAATTTAACTTACTCATGTAAGTCATTTGAAGAAGAACTTCAGGTCACTAGCATATATAGAAAACCAATATCTTACTAATACTATCAACGAAACGATATAAAAATTACCATGAAAATGTTCAACTCTGCACCATCTAGCATCATCTTGAGAACAGTGCTCGGTGTGCAGATCTCTCCTGTACGTGAGCATCCCTTGATAATCTCATTCAGTCACAGAACTTGAATAGCTTGAATGACTCCAGCTTTGCACTGGAGACAGCAGAATGTACAACTTGGGTCCACACTGCCTTCCTAATTCAGACTCGTGTATTCAGCTGCCCACTTATCAACTCCACTGACGGGCCTGTGGACTCATCGGTATCTCAAAGCCAGCATGTTCAAAACTACACTTCTCCTGGTTCCCACAAACCTGCTCCTCCTGCCATTTTTTTTTTTTTTTATCCATCTCAGATGATAAAAATCCCATGCTTCTACTTGCCTGAAGCACAAATTTCGTAATCATCCTTCACCATCACTTCATTACATTCCACACCCAATCTGTTTTCAACTATGATCGGCTCCACCTTGACATTTTATCCAGAACCTTCTTACCTCTCACCATGTGCACTTCTACTCTAGTCTTTTCTCTCCTGGATCATGTCAATAACCTCCTAACCGGTCGCCTGGCCACCTGCCCTTGATCCCGGACAGCAGGAGGGATTATTTAAAGCACACTTCAGATCATGTGCCCCGTCTGTTCAGACCTTCCGAGAATTTCCCATGTCCCTGAAAGTTACAGCCTATTCCTCCAATGTCCCCTCCAAACCCTCACGATTGCCATGACTTCGTACCCTGTGACTCTCTCCCTCACTCACCCTCCTCTGGGCACAGTGGACTCCCAGTCTGGTCTCGGAACACAGCCAGCATGCTCTAATCTCTGGAGTCTTTTCGCTTTTTGTTCCTTTTCCCTGGAAGTCTCTTCCCCCAGATATGTGTAAGGAACATCCCTTGACATCCTTCAAATCTCCGGTCACCTATGATTTTATTGAAGAGAGGAGCTTACTTCACACCAGCTCTGTCTTTGTCTTACCAGCTGTCCCATATAAACATTCTGCTTTAATTTTCTCTATAGAACTTCTTTCTTTTTTTAATTTTTTTTTAACATTTATTTATTTTTGAGACAGAGAGAGACAGAGAGACAGAGCATGAACGGGGGAGGGGCAGAGAGAGAGGGAGACACAGAATCGGAAGCAGGCTCCAGGCTCTGAGCCATCAGCCCAGAGCCCGACGCGGGGCTCGAACTCATGGACCACGAGATCGCGACCTGAGCCGAAGTCGGACGCTCAACCGACTGAGCCACCCAGGCGCCCCACTATAGAACTTCTTAACGCCTATCATACTAAATATTGGTTTGTTATCTGATTCCTCCCGTTAAAATGAAAACTCTGGGAAGTCAGGAATTTTTTTTTTTTTTTTTTGAAAATTGTTATATCATTGCACTTGAAGCAGAAGCCGGTATATCGCCTGCACTTAATGCATATTTATGGAATGGAGGTATTTTTAAAAAAACACTCATCATATATATCAGCATAAACAGTTAGGGGAAGAAAACATTCATAACATAAGGCATGTGCTCAGAAGGAAATCGGTACAAATTTAGCACAGACATATATTAGTTAATATGGACTTCACTGCGAGATGAACCATGACTTTAGGAGAAACTTGGACGGCATCAAAGAAATTATACAGTGATCCAGAGAAAGGACAGGTGGGAATTTGATCAAAAAGGGGAAGAACTTGAAACAAAAGTAGGACATTGCTCTCTTGTGGTCCCTCCCTCATACACATTTGTCTTCTTTCATTAGAAACTGGAGTGTCTGAAAAGCTGTCACTCAAAGTTCCTTCAGATGTGGTTGAAGGATCTGCCAGGGCGACATATTCGGTTTTGGGTGAGTCTGCCAGCCCGAGGCAAACCGCTTTCCATCTCACTATTCTCGTGCACGCAGCCTCACTATCCACAGTTTAGACATTGGCTGTAGGCATTCGTTTGAGAGAAAGAGTGCTAAGCTCAGAATCGCATTGGGTATTAGTCAGAAGGGGGGCTGAACAGATGTTGTGCTACCTTGACACACTCTAAAAAGTACCAAGGGTCACCTCTCGGTGCCCTCAAATTCAAGAGACTGACTAGGGGGTGAGGCATCCTAAAAGTCGGTTTTCACCGGACAAGTTGTTCATCAGAAAAGATGGTTCCTGCCATTCAGTTTTTTCCATCCTTGAACCACTGACTTTATTTTTCCCACTTTTCTCTATCCTTTCTATTTCTTGTTTTCCTTCGTCTCTTATGCTTTCCTGTCCTTCTCTCTAGAAGTGATTTGACCTCACGCTTTGCTAGTAATCTATCTTCCTATCCCAACATAGACCAGCTCTGAGTGCCTCGGATTTTTTTTTTTTTTATGTCTCTCATTCCCCAGGTGACATACTAGGTTCTGCAATGCGAAATCTCCAGAATCTTCTCCGGATGCCATATGGTTGTGGAGAGCAGAATATGGTCCTTTTTGTCCCTAACATCTATGTTCTGAACTATCTGAATGAGACAGGACAGCTGACGGAGGATATCAAGTCCAAAGCCATCAGCTATCTTGTCAGTGGTGAGAGATTACCCCGAAAGGAGAAATCTTAACTGATTCCCTAAACAGTTCTTTCACTGAACTCCAATCAGTTTCTCCTTGGTTAAGATTTAAAAAAATCACCGTTGCTACGATAACCAATCAAATGTCCCACTGTACCTCCAGAAAATTCAATGGCATTATCCAGTCTTGGAGATATCTTGATAACACAGTAGTTTCCCTAAGATTCCTCACCAAGTTTTGAGGAAAAGACTGATTAATTCTCCAATGTTTCTGCTATTTCCTAAACCTACGAATACTTCCTTTTCAGGGTACCAAAGGCAGTTGAATTATAAGCACAAAGATGGTTCATACAGCACCTTTGGGGATTATGATAGTAGAAGTCAGGGAAACACTTGGTAAGATAATTATTTCCATATGCTCACTGTGGATTCATTCTATTTGGGAATCGGAGACATTGATTCTCTGATACCTGGAGTTGTTTCATGGAATGCGCTATCCTTTAAAACTCCACAAGCCTGTCATCGCTATCGTGTGATCTCACCAATTCATGTATGAACGCTCACCTGTTGCAATAGTAAATGGCAGTAAAATAAAGATCCCCCCAAATGGAAATATAAGGCAGGAAGCACTGTAATGTGAATGGTAAGAGAAGAAGCTTCTATACTGTGTATTAAGGGAAGGAAGAGGGGTAGGACGGAAAGAGACTGTGACGTGATAAAGAATCACTTAGGAAATGGCAGTTTGGGTGACGGACAGCGTTGTCGGGCAAACATTTTGCACGAAAAAAAAAAGTGAAAAAAAAAGTGGAAAGTTCTTCATCGACTCTGAAGAAACCAGTTAAGTCGAGAGATTCAAGAAAGAACTCAGAGAGTTGCTGCACAAACAAAAGAATATGTAGCGTGCACGTGTCCTGTCCCCACCAATTCCCCCAATGGTTGAGTTGTGAAGACCAAAGTCTGAATGCCGTTGCCCAAAATGAGCTTTGAACGTGAGATGGTCCTCATGTCTGTCTCTTCTGTGCTGGACAGGCTTACTGCATTTGTGCTCAAGTCCTTTGCTCAAGCCCGGTCGTACATTTTTGTGGAGAACTCGCACATCATGGATGCCCTCACTTGGCTCTCACAGAAGCAGAAGGAAAATGGTTGCTTCCAACGCTCCGGATCACTGCTAAACAATGCTATGAAGGTGGTGCCATTAATTTTGTTCTGGTCCCTGGAACTAGTCACATGTAGAGACAAAGATACTCCTACTGATTCCTCAAGTCTCGGTGACATAGATTTGAGGTAGGGCGGTAGGTTCTAAAAGTTTCTGCAACCTGACAACACATCAGTAGTTTTTTAGGGAATTAAAATAGTGTGCGAAACGCCCCAGCATGTTACTAAGAGTGAGGGTGAGTGATTTGGAACTGATTCAAGAATTTTAGGGTGGAGGAGAAAGAGGGGAAAGTCAATCATACTGCACAAGAAAAGATGCTTTCTGGTGAAAAGTGAGCAAGAGGAAAAGTAGAGTTAGCCAACTCCGGCTAATGAATATTGGAATGTTTGAGTATCTCTGCCTGTGATCTTTACAGGGCGGGGTAGACGACGAAGTGACGCTCTCTGCCTACATCACCATTGCTCTGCTGGAGGTGCCACTGCCTGTCACTGTATGTACCAGCACAGTCCCTATATCCTGTCTCACAAATATAAGGAATACAAATCACGAAATTCTGAATCTCTGAGGACAATGAGTTGTGGTTTTTATGTTATTTAATTTTGGTATATTTTCACTGGCACAGGCACATAAAAGACTAGATACTTTTGGAAGCCGCGGAGGAAATTATTCTCGGGTCAGAACCGTGATGTCACGTGACACATGGAGACCTTTTAATCCGGTGTTAGCCTGGAGACCGTTCATTAGCCTGGTTGTGCTAGATAAAGATCTTTTCTCCTCTGTTTCAGCACCCTGTTGTCCGCAACGCTCTATTCTGCCTGGAAAGTGCCTGGAGATCCATTTCAGAGTCAGAGGCCCAAGGAAATCTTGTCTACACCAAAGCATTATTGGCCTATGCCTTTGCCCTAGCAGGAAACCAGGCCAAGCGAAGTGAGCTGCTTGAATCACTGGACAAAGATGCTGTGAAAGAAGGTAAGAGCTGCTACGGTGAAAGGAGGTAGAATTTACCTCCGGAATCACCAGTGATCAAAAGAAGGAAGAGAACCTATCATGACTAGAGTATATCACATATATCACATTATATTATTATAATGATGATAAGAATAATTATCATTGATCCAACGCTTCAATTCTGTAGGTGACATGGAATATTCTTTCAGTTCACACGTTATAGACTCTGCAGCCCGACCTCTAATATCACACCAGTATGTAACAGACACAAGGAAAAAAAACTGTGATTTACTGGAAACGTAAATTGGCAAAGCGTTGCTTGATTGGTGATTACTATTTTTACACCGGCTCACTACTACGTGAGCTCTAACGCTAACGAATATTCATGAATCAGATGTAAAAGTCATTCTTTAGGTTGAAGATCATACTCTTCCCTTTCAAAGATGAGTCGATCCACTGGCAGCGTCCTGGGAAAGTTCAAGAAGTTCCGTCGCTCTATTATCAACCCCGGGCTCCTTCTGTTGAAGTGGAGATGACCTCTTACTTGCTCCTTGCCTATCTTACTGCTCGGCCTACCCCATCTTCGGAAGATCTGTCTGTGGCTTCACGTATTGTGAAATGGATCACCAAGCAACAAAACCCCAATGGGGGCTTCTCCTCCACTCAGGTCTGTGGAGAGACCCTGGGAAGAAAAATAAATACCTGACTACATATGTAGACACAACCATATTCTAGGAGTTGGATAATTGGATAATATTTCTAATTCATACTTTCTCCATTCCTCCATCAGCAGAAGGGTTCCAGCCCCCTGTCTTAATATATTCATTACTGCGCTGCCCTTTGTACAGTCTTTCTTATCTTCTCTCCTTAGTGGACCCCCAACTGTAAAATAGATCAATCTTTTTAACGCAGTATTTCATGAAATTACTTCCTCGTTAAAGTAAATCTTTTTTTCACCCAAAGACTAGAATCGTCTAATATTTTATTCAAAACATTTCCTCTCCCCAGTAAACACGAAGACCCCTATCCGCTTGGGCTGATCCCTTTGCTTTTTTCTGGAATCGGCTCCCTCCTTTTTCTGTGTCTTCCCACCCTGGTAGTCCCTGATGCCCCGCTTCTGTCTATATAAACCCTTCTCATGATTCATCCATACTCTTATGTCTAACATTCTTCACAGTCTCCTCTGACTATCTAGCTCCGATTTCTTCCCCTTTCTTCGAATGTGTACACATGTATTATTATATAAATTTATAAATTATCGAGATAACCTGTGCTTTATGTCAAATATCTGGGTCGAATTTCCATGTGTTGAGTGTAAATTACCTGAATGGGGAAACTTTTTAATGTCCCCCCCCCCCACCAAGGACATAGAATAGTTTATGATTAATAACAGGTCTGCGTTTGTCACTAAAGAACTCCGAGAGAGAGTAGGGTTGATATGATTTACATCCAGTATGATTTTGGTACCTTCTCTCCCGTGATTTCTGCCCCATCTCTTTTCAGGACACGGTGGTCGCGCTTCAAGCCCTGTCCAAATATGGAGCCGCAACATTCAGTAAAATGGAGAAAGCTGCTGTAGTCACTGTCAAGTCTTCGGAGACCTTCTCGGAAAAATTCCAAGTACACGATGCCAACCGCCTGTTGCTTCAGGAAATCAGGTTGCCAGAGATTCCAGGGGAGTACAGCACGACCGTGTCAGGATCAGGATGTGTGTACCTCCAGGTGAGACTACCAGGGCGTAAGGGAAAAGTCTCAAGAATTAGATACGAACCTCCAAATGGAAAAAGGCATGTGGGCTAAGGAAAGATATGAATCATCTAGAAGAGACAGACTCTTGAAGTGCAAAGATAAGGGATGTTTTTAAATTTGTTCTAGACATCCCTGAGATATAATGTCCTGCCCAAGAAAGAAGGGAAAGTTCCCTTCGCTCTGAAGGTTGATACTCTCCCCAAGAATTGTGATGGCGTAGAAGCTCACAGGAAGCTGCAGATTCACATCAACATTAGGTAAATCCTTGTGTAGGTAAGACCTTTCGTAGAATATTGAGAAACCGATTTTCTTGTGCGGGGAACTTCCGTTGTCCAAGATCACACATTGTGAATGTGAAATTCTTGCAATATTTACTAGCGAGAAAATGTTCTTCACTCTTGCTGAAAAGCCTTAACACTGAGCACATGATGTTGCCATACCTGCAGAGTGTGAGTTCATAATGGTGGGTTTTCCAAACAACAATAGCAGAAGCAAATAAAGTAGATGGGGAAGCTGCGTGGTGGTTAAGGATAGAAAACACCAGAAGTAAAAGAGAGGGGGAGACTTCTGTCTTGAACAAACTCCAGAGGATTTTGTTTGAATGCCTTCTCCCGATGCCTTGACTTTGTAGTTACACTGGAGAACGACCAAGCTCCAACATGGCCATTGTTGACGTGAAGATGATGTCAGGCTTCATACCTGTGAAATCATCAGTGAAAAGGGTAAGCCCTATATCCCTTACAGATATCAAAGCCATGATAAATACTGACATTTGTGCTTGTCAATTTTATTTTACTGATTCAGTTTTACTTTATTTTACTGATTCAATTTTCAAGAGGTGTACTCCCTCAAACTTACTTCCCTAGAGTGTGCTTACGTCATTTTAATAGTGAATCATCCCTCTTCTGTGGTATCAGGTATAAGACGTAAGTCCCAGACATGGCTCCAGCAGGCCCGGAGACATCTAGATATGTGGAGAGGTATTGAATTATCTTCCAATCGTGTATGTTAAAAAGGGAAAATATATCACATATATACACATGTATATGATATAAAAAGATGCCAGAGAGAGGGAGAGAGAGAGAAATGTGATACTCTCCCCTTTTCTTTTTATATGTAAAGGATAATTCTCTCTCATATATTATGAAAATATGTATGTTATGGATAGATTAGTTAGATGACAGATTGACAGGTAGGTAATAGACAGATAGATACAGAGATACAGACGTATAAATAATGGTAGATAATATAGAAAGGGCTTAATACATATTACTATATTCCTGAAGAAATCACAAGTAGCAATTTGGATGTTTCCGAGCAGCCCATTGGATCATAAATACCTGAAAAGTACTCTCAGCCTGGAATTTCCTCATCTCATGTATCTGCCTTATGGTCTTGATCAACAGCTCCAAGAAAAGCCTCAGATTCAAAGGACTGAAGTGAGCACCAACCATGTCCTGATTTACTTTGAAGAGGTGAGATTCTGTAGACTCTGCCAGATCGGGAACACTACTAGAGGTTCCAACACACCAATCCAGACCCTAGAGAATAATGTTTTTCAGACACCCAGGTGAAGGAGGCTGAACCCGTCCACAAAGTTCAAGCTCACTACATTTCACTGTCCATAGAATCATCTTTTTTGTCCTTCCTGTATCTGTCACTGAGTCCCAAAATGCCATTCTCGCCAAAGGTTTTGTTACAGACGGATAGCGTAACCGTAAGATTTGATGATATCGTAGGAAGAGAGGATGGTAACTGGTAACTAAGTTAATCTTGGATTCCAATTTGGTTTTCCTGTCTCTCCAGCTAACCAATCAGACCCTGAGTTTCTCCTTCTCAGTGGAACAAGACATCCAAGTAAACAATTTAAAACCGGCTACTGTAAAAGCCTATGATTATTATGAGACAGGTAAGTGGGATTCATACGTGCTGAGCCTTAAAAAGAAAGAACTAACCTGGTAAAGGGTCGCTTTAATTGAAACAAAACTGCGCAGTCTTTCCCTGGAGGAAGAAGTGAGTGTGCGGTCATTGGATAGGTACAGCTCCAATAAGAACAGCAGGGCTGCGAAGAGGGCTACCCGGTGTCCAAAGAGAAACAGCCTTCCGTTTGTGAAACCAGGCCCTGAATTCTGTATCCAAGCCCACCTTCTTCTTCCTCCCCTCTCCACCAATCCTACATGGTTTAGCACAGAAGTTCTTAGTTTACCGCTTATTTATAAGTAACTGCCCAGATGCCTGTTTACTGGAGGTCTTCACTCTTTCTGTCTTCCCATTTTGTGTTTCAGAGGAATTCACTATTGAAGAGTACAGTGACCCCTGCAGTGCTGGTAAAGTATAAACAGTAAAATCTAGTGCCAACATGAAAAAAAAAAAAAAAAGCACCTGTCGTCTGCATAAGGCTGTTGCTTGAGTCTATCCTTATATTATAAAAGTCCATGGTGTGGCATTTATGAAGCAAACTGTTTCAAATGTATTATCGAATTTCTCAGTAAGAAAAACATGCATGTAAAGTATAATTTCTGAATCTGGGAGTACTTGTTTGCAGATGAATCCAGGAATTTGCCACAGATGAAAACTAAATCATCTAATACTTAGTTTACATTGTATACCCAATGGTGATATATTTGTCACCTATGACATTTTTAGGATGTTTCTACACTTATACCATTTAAGGTCAGGAAATTTTTCCCTGTAACCATCCATATAGCACAGCAGAAGAGATAGACCTACAAGATTTTCCCTTAGGCTGGTCAACGGTGTTCATCTTTGACAATATAACACTTGCTTTGAGACCTTCAGTTTTCCATTCTAAAATTGGTGGGGGGGGGGCGGAGAGGGGGGACAAGAACATCCCTATCATTGAAAGTAATTAAAATTTATTACATTTGAATATTTATGATTGAAATATGAAAATTATTCCTTTAGTAGATGACAGAATCTCCCTAATTTTCCTACCTTTTATTCTACTGTTTAGAATCTGAACACGGAAGTGCTTAAAAATGGAAACATGTGGACCTCATCAGATGATCTTCTCTAGCAATGAAGAACAAAGAATGATCAGCAGAAAATATAAACAGGGGACAGGAATCGGAATACGTAAAATTTGTATGTGGAATAAATTTATGACATATACACATCTACAATTTCTTTTGTTCTTTATCAATGATACATTTCCCTTCTGAAATCTGTATCTATTCCCCATAACATTTTTAAAAACACTATTAAAGCTCTACAAAAAGCTGCGCTCAAAACACTATAGATAAATCAAAATGGAATTCCAAAAAGTGTTCAGATAACCCACAGGAAGGTAGGGTAAAGAAAGCAATGTTTCCAAATATTGAAAACATCCAAAACGTCCATCAGTAGGTGAATGGTTATACTAACTGTGGTGCATTCATGCCGTGGAACACTACTCAGCAATAAAATGGAACCAACTACCGACTTACACAATCATTTGAATGGATCTCAAAACTATTACGCTGAATGAAAATACAGCAATTTCAAAAGGTCATAGTGCATGTTTCCTTTTGTCTAACATTACTGAAATGACAAAATGATAGAAATGGAAAACAAATCAGTGGTTTCCAGGGGTTATGGATGGTAAGGCAAGGGAGAATTGGCATGACTATAAAGGGCTAGCTTTAGACACACCTTTGGGTTGATGACATCCCGTGTGTGTTTCCTTCACAAGTAAAAGTTTTGAATTTGTGGAGCTTAATAAAATACAGCCTTTAATAACTATTACGGCTGGTCCGTCTCATTTCTCCGTTTGCATCTTTTCTTTGCAATACTGCTTATTATTTACTCCAGGTAAAACTTTAAAATCCTTTGTGAAGTTAATTATCTCCCTAGTCTTACTGGGTACCATTTAGTGTTGCATTGAATATTAAGCGATTTCTAACGATTCTGAAAGTCCACATTTTACAGTATTTAGCCTTCCCTATTCAGACGCAGGTTGTCTTCATTTATTCAATTCACAAGAAAGTGAAGTCTGAATTTGATTTACTCTCTGATTTTGGACTGAACTACAAAGTTAAAATTAGAGGTTGACTTCATAAATATATATAAGATATATATTTATCATAAAATATATCATAAATATATGATAAGATAAAAGCATGAAGTGGGACGCCGGGGCGGCTCAATCAGGTAAGCACCCAACTCTTGATTTTGGCTCAGGTCATGATCTCATGGTTTGTGAGATCCAGCCCCATGTCAGGCTCTTCACTGACAGAGTAAAGCCTGCTTGGGATTCTCCTTCTCCCTCTGTCTCTCTGCTCCTCCTCTGCTTGTGCTCTCCCTCTCTCTCAAAATAAATATTTTTTAAAAATAAAAATAGGGGCGCCTGGGTGGCTCAGTCGGTTAAGCTGCCGACTTCAGCTCAGGTCATGATCTCACGGTCCGTGAGTTCAAGCTCCGCGTTGGGCTCTGTGTTGACAGCTTAGAGCCTGGAGCCTGTTTCAGATTCTGTATCTCCCTCTCTCTGACCCTCCCCCGTTCATGCTCTGTCTCTCTCTGTCTCAAAAATCAATAAATGTTAAAAAAAAAATTAAAAAAAAAATAAATAAAAATAGAAATAAAAAATAAAAGCATAAAACAATGTATATACATGGAGACAAATTAAAAGATAAATGCAAGAATAAGATTACGAGGGGCTCCCGGGTGGCTCGGTCGGTTAAGTCTGACTCTGGCTGGGGTCGTCATCTCACAGCTCGCGGGTTCGAGCCCTGCATGGGGCTCACCTGAGAGTGCAGAGCTTGCTTGGGATTCTCTCTCTCACTCTCTCTCTCCCCTCCCCTCCCCAAGCTCATGCTTTCTCTCTCTCTCAAAATACATAAACTTAAAAAAAAGAATACGATTACAAGATAATGAAAGACTAGAAACCGTTGAAAGATTTTAAAGCGACAGAATATTTCAGACTTGCATTCTGAGAGTTCACCTCCTTGGCAAAGGGAAGAAAGGAGCTTTTGCTGATGTCCAAATACACAGGCCATTGTGCACAGCCAGGCTATCTTCTCCACGCCTAATCACATGGTTTAGCACACATATCTCTCTTCCACACTTCTACACACTTCATATAAAACAAACTAAAAGATTATTTTCCTCTCATCTCCGTATCAGATCTCTTTGAAAACGAAACCTGTATCTTAATCATGCCTGCGGCCTATTCGCTTAACACAGTGCTGTGAATATCGTAGGCTCTCAGCAAAACAAAAGTGTGACGGAACAGGTCACTGAGTGAGCCTGTTCCCAAACGTGGGTACGTGCAAGAGAATGGAGTAACACAAAGGTGTTGGAATACATCAGGAAAGAAAATGCACTAGAAAGATCATTTCACCCCAAGCTGAGTTGAATTGCTTAATGTGTCACAAATGTGTTACGGGAAAGATTTTCATACTTTTCCCAAGTCAAGTAGATGAGGAGAACAAGGAATTTGGCTTATTTATGAACACCTTCAAACTTTATGAACACCTTAAAAGTATTTGTTATGCATTCACTGAGCTCAAAGAGGAAAATTAGCGCCTCTGGCTTACGAAACTAGCTGTCAGCAATCATCAAAGGGGTAAAGACACGTTCTCTCTGTTGTGGGTTGAATCGTGTCCCCCCAAGAAGATACGTTGAAGTCCCAATCCCCGGTACCTGTGAATGTGACCTTATCTGGAAATAGGGAATATCTGTATCTGGAAATACATCTGCAGATGTGATTTAGATGTAAGTTAAGACGAGGAGCACCGGGGTGGCTCATTCGGGGGTAAGCGTCTGAGCTCAGGTCGTGACCTCGCGGTTTGTGAGTTCGAGCGCCACATGGGACTCTGCGCTGACGGGTGGGAGCCCGGAGCCCGCCTCAGATTCTGTATCTCCCTCTCTCTCTGCTCCTCCCCTGCTTGCTCGCGGTCTCTCTCCCTCTCTCTCAAAGAAATACACAAACAAACATACATTAAAAAAGAAAGGTGGAAATTAAGAGGAGATCAGACTGTGGTAGGACGGACCCTTTATCCAATACTACTGTTGTTCCATAAGAAAAGGTGACGATATACAGAGGCAAACGTGCACAGAGGGAAGACGATGCCAGACTTGCAGGGAAAATGCCACGTGGTGATGGAGCAGGGACACAAATACCAGGACTGCTGGCAACCAATGAAGCTAAGACCATGGCATGGAAGAGATTGCCCCCGAAAGCATTTGGAAGGTGCATGGCCGCGGTCGGTCAATACCTCGATTCGTGACTTCTAGCCTCCAGAACTACGAAAGAACAAATTACCATTGTTTTAAGCCACCCAGTGTGTGGTAGTTTGTGTGGCTTTCTGCCATGTTGACAGCTTCTCTCATAAAAGATGAATCAGTTCTTGTTATTAAAGTTCTCCAGGAGGAAGTTCTTGTAGATTTCTCCCGTGGTCATAAGGAAAATAAAATGATCCGAAATAAAAATAAAGGAACCCATGGGTCATTCATATTACTTGACTTCAAGGCACATTTGGGTGAAAATGCTGGCAGGTTTTAATCAGTTCTGGTACACTCCCTCAAGAAATATTCGATTGGTTCTTAATACAACACAGAAGTACTGTTGTAGACCTTTCTTCTTCGTGATCCTAAAAATATAAAGAAGTCACTGTTATTTAAAGGGTAATAGTGTGCAAAATATCCTTATGCTTTTCACTTAATTCCTTCAGGCATTTTTCTTATAACATTGAGGAATCCGAATTCATGAGATAACATTAAAGAACACTCAAGCCACTAAATGCACAAGCTCTGCAAGGATTCACGTTACGGTTGGACACAGCTTTGCCTGAAAAAATCTGTACCAAGATGTAATGTGTACTTAATCTGACAAAATGAAACTTGTCGTGTTCAGTAAACGATCTTTGATTACCCAAACTCTGTTAATATATAAGCCACACAAAAGACTTTCATCCTCAGCAGGCTTAGCTATCCTTTGGCCTAAAGGTTCTCTCTTCCAAGACAGTGAGCAGCCGAATATAAAATTAAACTGCCTCTTGGTTATCAGCTATCGAAAAAGAAAAGATTAAAAATAAAAGGGAATGCTTTTCCCAATTTGTGTAAAATAAAACAGCACCCTCTCTGGAAATTCATAGATGGATATTATTAACTCTGTGCTATCTCCTTATTTTACAAACTGTCAAAGTGTAACTTTCAAAAAGAAAATATATATTCATATACTTGTAACTTATATTCTGAGACAACCATAAACTGACCACAGTGTCTAAGATCTTATTTAACCTATTCATTAAGTAACCAGTAAAATGTTATAACAAGTCCAAAAAGCTAGGAAACTTACAATTTTTAAAAAACTGCCAGGAGAAGAATGATGAGTTACGTACAAGACTAAATAATGCACAATAAGCCATACAATCTTAGGGGTTATCTGTTCCACTGGGCAGAAGTTATTTGCGTGTGTACCTAACAAATATCAACAAGTCACCTCACTGAGTCTAAAGCCTTTCATTTGTAGTAAATAATGAAATGAACTGAGCATATGCCCCTGGATAATCTTTAAGTGGTCCTTGACCCCAAGTTGTATAGAAAGAATGTGCTACTCCCCATTTTTGCCTTGCTGCTGAGTTTCTGATAGTTTTTCTGACGGTCTCCCCTCTACAAAATTATTCTTGATTAAAAAAAAAAAAAAAAAAAAAAGAAGTGGCCATCTTATCAGGTTCGTACTCTGTTTTCACAAGTGCCTGGGAAGGTTAATGAGCCATGTAGGCCTCCTTGGGTTTGTCTGAAAATCTTGAGCCTTCAGTGTTAAACAGCTATTAAGGCCACATAACTAACTTCTGTCCAGCAGCTTTCATAAGGAATCTTGGCTTAGACTTTTAAAAACCTCCGTGACTTATTATTTCACCTATCGTACCTACAACGTTAGATGAATTCCTCTCACCTAAAAGTCCCCCAAATTCCAAGATCTTTGGCTTGCCAGGGAATGATCTTATTTATTCTTGTGAGATTGAAGCCCTATAAGTCAGGTACCAGGTCAGGTTCACGAGAGAACTTTGTAGGCACCACTGGTATTTCTCAGTAGCGAACGTATCATGTCTGATTAAATGAGAATTATTTTCAAATATTATTGCTCCAAGTATGACTTGATTACACAATCAACCTGTCCAACTATAGCCACGTTAAAAGAAAACAGCAGATTCTTATTAAACTATGCAATCAATGTTTGCCGTGCAAAGTATAAAGATTCAGTCAAAGTATGCGTTTGAATTCTAAGGGTATCAGTGGGAATCAGCTATCATCTTTAAATGTTTTGTTTCCATCCACGGAAATAAAATCTACTAAATTAGGGGTTAGGTATAAGGTAAAAAGAGTGAGAAAAAAAAACTTTTCCTATATTTGTTTAAAATACAACATTAAAATAATACCTACCTACCATATTCCAAAGAGATAACCACATTTTAATTTCCCTCTTTGGTTTAGTCAATCCTAGTAATTCTCATTCTGCTTGATCTTAAGTCAAGCATTGTTCTCTCCTGGAGTATATTTGTTTCTAAACTGAAAAGAGTAAAGAGTCCCAGAAATCTTGCCTGATCCATTAGGACAGTCTGAAAGTTGTCTAAGGAAGAACAGCTTAGAAAACTGAATCTAAGAGTCTGTTCTTTGAAGTACCAATGTCCATAGTATCTGGTAGAGAACTTTCCAGAAGCATTTGGCAAGCATCAAGCAGCAGACAACTGTTTGATGGTGAGATTAGTTAGTTTCTTACAGTAACTTATAATGTCATAG